CGTTTGCCTTGGCGTCGTCGCGTTTGAGCCCCCCTTTCCCTGGGCGCGTCGCCGTTCCCCCCTTCCACTGGGCCTGCCTCCTCAAGCGAGCCAGCCAAAGCTGAACCAACGCGAAATTGAGCAGAGCAACGTCGTAGTTGAGTCGATGGGAAGCCCTTTCTCTTTGATCCATTGCCCCCCCCCGGGATGGGGGCGGGGGGTGGGGGGGGGGCGGGAAGGGGGTCCCCAAAGGGGGGGTCCTGGGGGGGGGGCCGGTCGGAATTCCATCCTGACCTGGGGTGTCATGGGGCCTGAAAAGACCCCAAGACAGCCCAAGAGGTCCCCAAGACCGTCCAAGAGGGCCCCGAATCGCCAAACCATCGGTCCAAGACGCCAGAGATGGCCTCCTAAAAATCTGCAAACGGCTTCCAAGACGCTCGACAGGGCCTCCAAGACTACACCCAGAGGGCCCCAACAGGCACACGGAAATGATTTGCTTGCGGGTTCTGCGAGATTCTGGCGTTCCCGCTCCTTTGGCTTCCCGACGCCGCCACGACCGACGCCTTGACGACACCACGATGCCCACGCAAAGAACCACCGCCTCCGCCACCACCACAACGACGACCGTCACGACCACCACGAGGACCGCGCCCTCCAAGACCACCGCCGCGACGACGACTCCCACGACATCCGCCCCCGCCCCCCCTCTTTCATGCCCTTTCTGCCTGGCTGCCCCTGCTTGCTCTCTCCTCTTCCTCCTCCTCCTCCTCCTCCTCCTCATCCTCCTCCTCCTTCACCTCCTCCTCGTTCTTCTCCTCCTCCTCCTTCTCCTCGTTCTTCTCCTCCTTCTCTTCCTCCTCCGCCTCCTCCTCCTCCTCCTCCACCTCCTCCCCCTCTTCCTCCTTTGGAGTCCCGAAACGGTGCGGTGACAGACCGTGCGGTGAACTCGAAATCCCCCAAGATCTCACCGCACGGTCCGTCAACGCACGATTTTGGGACCTCGGAGGCCCCAATCGCCCGAGACATCCTCGGAGAACGGCCCGAATCTCAAAACCGTGCGGTGACCCCGAATCCCCACCGGCTCACCGCACGGTGTGGTCACCACCCCGTTTGGGGGACCCCGACCTACTCCTCCTCGCCTCCAACTATTCCGGCGCTGATGCCGCGCGCGGGCCGGTGCGGGTTGGCACCAGGGGGCCGCCGCGAGCTGCCTTCCACAAGCGCGATTGCGGGGACTGCTCTTCCCCTCCCCCGCCCGGGGAAGAGAGAGAGAGAGAGATAGAGAGAGAGGAGAAAGAGAGAGAGAGAGAGACAGCGAGAGAGGGAGGGAGAGAGACAGACAAACAAACAGACAGACAGACAGACAGACAGGCAGACACACAGATAGGCACGCAGGCAGACAGGCAAGCAGACAGACACCCGGGCAGGAGGGCAGGCAGATAGTGAGGAGGAGCAGCGGACGATGCAAACGAAGCGGAGCAGCAACCTTCGGGTGCTCGGAGAAGGAATTTAAGGAGCATATGGCACAACAGGGGCACGGTGAGTGAGGAGGAAAGTGTCAGAGAGACAGAGAAGAGAGAGAGAGAGAGAGAAACAAACAAACAACACGATGACTGCACATATCCTATCAGCGATTGAACTCCTCAAGCCCACCGACGTGTACCAGCCCACGGAGAAGTCGTCGTAGTATTCCCCCTTGGCGCGGAGATGGAGCCTGTCGAGGGTGTACGTGAAATTCTGGCTCGCTATGAACACCATGGCGCCCGTGACGAGCACCTCTGCTGGGGGGCTCATCCGCCCAACTCCCTCCCTCCTTTCCTGACCCTGCGCCCTCCTCGGCGGCGACGATAATAAAGGCGAATGGCCCAGGGGCGGGCACTGCACGCATTCGCCCGGGAGTCTCTTCGAAGACCCAGATCATCGGCGCACCTGAATACATGTATTGCTCTCCTGGGCTATTCGCCCCTATCGCTGCATCTGAGTTCAGTCCGTCTTTCCTAGGGGCGAAACAAACCTACCTCGCTTTTGACCACCCTCGCTTCCAAGAGATACCAAGCGATGCCAAATTGCAGCCTGTACTGGTCAGGCCGCTTGACGAGGAGGCGCGTTGTATGGCTTGGTTTTGCCTGGAAGCGAAAGCGGGGCAGGTAATTCACGCTCTGATGTATTACTCTCCTGGGCTATTCGCCCCCATCGCCGCCTCTGACTTCAGTCCGTCTTTCCCTCGACCTGGCAATCGCTCGGACGGTCATTTCCTGTGCTTTTCTCGGTTTCGTGCGTGGTTTTTCCCCGAAGTGATCCAGGATGCTCCTCGATGGTCCTCGCCGACGGAAAAGTGCACACGTCCGAGCGATGGCAAGCGACCTCCTCCTCGCCGGCGAGCTGGCCGAGAGGGGCGCGGCCAGGCACGTCCTGCGGCGAGCCCGACGCAGCCCCTGCGGCGACGCCTCTGCGCGTCCTCGCCGACGGGGCGGCGTGCCGGAGAGCGCCTCCCCGGACGCGCCGCCGAGGGACGAGCCGAGGCCGGACCACGGCGACGCTCTTCGCCGCCGCCCCGAAAGCCTTCATGGTTGAAGGGGCCCCAGGACACACAAATAAATACACACAAATAAAAAGATTCCCCATATTTGTGCTTATTTTCTGGGTTTTTTGTCTTCCCTCCCATTTCCAATACTTTCCAATGTTTTCTGGGGAATTGACGATTAATTGTGTCTGTGTGTTTTTTTCCCTCCTGAATGGTGCTGGAGGAGATCCAGGCGAAGAACTGGAGGCCTGGAAATTGGCACCAGCACCAGCACAGGGGGCTGGCTCCACATGGGGGGAATGATCCTAGATTTCGGTGTCGGTGCTCATGTTTCGGTCACTTGGGAAGCCAGAGTATTGCCACCGCCGAGATCGGTATCGTCTTCCCTCGGTGGAGGCACACCGCCGACCTTGGTGCTGGTGTCAACCTCTAGGCCCGCGAAGGAAGCAGTCCCGGCGGCGGAGTGCGATGGAGAGCAGCTCGGCGAGAGGCCTCCTTGTGATAATGACGGTCTGGCCGCGCCGCAGCCAGATGGCGCAAGAAGGCCAGAATCCAAGCTTCGCGCCCAGATTATGATTTTCTGGCGTCGGCCTGTTGAGGGGGCCACGGGCGCGAGGGGCCGCGATGTTGATGCAAGGAACGGGGCCGCGCAACCTGAGGAAGCGTGCCACGGCGCCCCCCGCGCCCTTGCCAGTGGAGGGGGAGTCGCCAGTGGCGACGCTGCGCGAGGAGCTGGCCAAGCGCCGGGCGTGCGACGCGGCAGCCAAAACAGACCTGGAGGAACTGCATGTCGACCAACCGCAGGCGGGCGGCCACCCCTGGGCAGAACCTCCCTCGCCCGCCCCCCCCGGGCGGCCGCGGCAGGGAAGCCAGAGAACGGGGTGTTGGCCAAAGGCGAGAAGGCGAAGGAGCTCCAAGCGTTCGGAGGTGGTGCAGGACCTGGATGAGGTGCTGCCCTGGACGCCCTCACGTTCGACCTGGGCGAGGCTGTGCTGGCCAGGCATCCGCGCAAGGTGCAGGGCCACGCGAGGCTCCGCTGCGGCGTCGTGCAGAGGCTCGAACTGGGCCTGGCAGCTGGCATTCCGCCTGAGCTGCGGCGTCGTGATGACAGGTAAGCGGCCTGGCAAGCTGCCCCAGGCGCCGTGCCATGGGCGGCGAGGAGAAGTTGGGAGGGAGCAGCTGGGGGTTCTGAGCCAACGCAGGTGGCCGAACTACCGTGGCGGCCACCACGGCGAGCGGCTCGTGGGCCCCATCGCCACAGACTGCGACGAGCGCCTCGACCTGTCCGTCAGCCAGCGCTGCCGAGCACCCCCGGGAGGCCCCAACCCGAAAGCCCAGGGTCCTCGCCAGAGCTCAGGGCCCGTTTGCCTGGGTGGAAGCAGAGGAGGAGGAAGTGGAGCGGCGCGGCGCGGAGGCGGGAGGAGAGGAGGCCGCGCGCGCGGGCCGCCGGGCTGCTGCGGCTGGCAGCGCGCATGGGGGGCAACACGTGAGGCCGTAGGGGCGCCGCCGGCAGGAAGAGCGGCGCGGCGGCCCGTGCCGCAGGTGCCACGGGATGCGCGAGACGGACATCGAGGAGGTGCGGGAGTTCGGGCGGGAGGCAGGCCGCGCAGGGACGAGCCTCGGGGGCGACTGCGACGACAGCGACGAGGGGCACGTCGTGAGCTGAGGGTGCTCCGCTCCGCCACGCACGCTGCGAATGCAGGCCACACCCGTTCCAATTCCCTTTCCTTCTCCTCCTTGTCGTCGTCCTCCTCCTCCTCCTCCTCCTCCTCCTCCTGCTCCTCCTACTCCTGCTCCTGCTCCTCCTCCTCCTCCTCCTCCTCCTCCTCCTCCTCTTCTATCATCGTCCGGCTTCTCTCCTCGTTCCTCCTCCTCGTTCCTCCTCCTCCTCCTCCTCCTCCTCCTTTTCCTCCACCTCCTCGTGCTACTCCTTCTCCTCCTCCTGCTCCTGCTCCTCCTGCTGCTTCTCCTGTTCCTGCTCCTGCTCCTGCTCCTGCTCGTGCTCCTGCGCCTCCTCCTCCTCCTCCTCCTCCTCCTCATCATCATCATCATCCACATTCTCCTCCTCCTTCTCATCTCTTCCATCGTCCTGCTCCACTCTTATTATCCGTCTCCTCCTCAAGGTCCATGCCGACGTCTTCCACTCCTCGCCCTCAACCTCATCCTCCGACGTCCTCATCGTCGCTCGCACATCCTGCTTGTTTCCTCCTGCTCCTGCCCCGATGCTGCCCATCCGCCTGCTCAGCTCCTGCTGCGCAGAGTTGTCCCACCCCTGGAGGTCTCGGGAAAAGAATCATATATGGTCCTAGTTTTAAGTCGGGCCTGTCCTCCTACCGAGGGGCTTGAGACGAACATGTAAAACATTGTCATAATATAATCAAAAATGATCAAATAATACAAAAAAACGTCATCACATAATACACCAAAGAAACGTCCCAAAACTATTGTTTACTATTCTTGATTATTCCTCCTGTAGAGGGACGGGCCAGACTTAATCCTAAGTCTGCTCCTGCTGCTGCCCCGCTTCACGCGCATCCAGCTTGCGCGGGAATGCGCATGAGGCCTGCGTGAAGCACATGTTCGTCATGGAGCCAGTCTGCAGCTGCGTCCTGGGAGCGTGCGCAGCAAACACATCCTGATCCCAGAAAGCCTTGGGGGCGGCGGACAAAACATCCACATTCCCTGACGGCACTTGACTCTTTCCAGGTGTCCAGAGAAGACGAAGCCAGAACGAGGATTAGATCGGGTGAAGATGAATCGGGAATCTCTGAGATCCGGCGGCTCTGGAGGATGTGGCAATCGCCGCGGCCTTCTCAAAGCGTTCCGGAACACTCTGAGAACGTTCCGGAACGCTCTGGAACGGATTTATCCTCGTCCTAGCCCCGTACGAAGGGTAAGGAGGCCAGTGCGGGGAGATCTTCATGAGACAAATTGTCCTGGAAGCGGGATTGATCCCAATTGGCCCCGTCCGACCAGATCCTTCCACAGGCCTCCGGAGGCACCCAGGCATCTCCAGAACTCTCCGGGGGCCTCCGGAGACCATGGAGGCCTCAGGGGCCTCTGGAAGCCCCCAGGCCCCCCTCGCGACGGGGCGGAGTGGGCAGAGACTGCAGCGGCGGCCGCGGCCGAGGAGGCAGTGGCGGATGAGAAGGTTGACGACGGATGAGGAGGATGATGATATGCGTTCATGAGCCACTCCTCCGCCTCCACCCCCTTCTCCTCCATCCTCCACCTGTCCTCCTCTCCTCCTACTCCCCCCCCCCTGATCCTCCTCATCCCCGCCCCTTCCTCACATCCCCAATTACAGAGGCGTCCTGCTCTTGAACACCTTGATCTTATCGATCACGCCGAAGATGGCTTTCAGGAGCTGGCGGGAAGCTTCGGACACCCCGAATAGGATATCGACTACAAGATTGAGTTACCCTGAAATTGATTTTCTCGTCGAATCTCAAAACAAATACGTAGAACGATCCGTATATTCGACTGAAGAATCAATTTTGGGGTAAACCAATTCTGTAGTCGATCTCCTACTCGAACACTCTGTGCTGAGTCCACGAGACCAGTCTGCACTCCTCTGCTCCTTCTTTCCTTCCGCCATGGATCTGGGCGGGCGAGGAGGGTGGGGTAGATGGGGGGCGGAGGGAGGAAGCTGGCAGGATGAAGAGGGATGGAAGGAAGGACGAATAGGGCCCAAGGCAAGGACGGAGGAGCGAGTTTTTTAACATCAAGCCACACGCACACACAGGGAAACGAGAGAGAGTGGAAAAAACAAAAACTCCGAGATAACTCAACCCTCGAAATCGTTATACCAAAGCCCGACGTCAACTGTCACACCGTCGTGCTTGGGATGGAGGCCCTGAATTATTCGCTTCCATGAGTATCTGCGACCACTGGCCCCCTTCAGGGGGAGGGGGCAACACTCACGGCGGAGACCGCGCACTTGACCTCCGCAGGTATAATGTTTGCAGCGGAGGCAGACAAAAACAAACGAGTGATCACTCGCTTCCAGATGCATCATGCAGTGCCCGAGCTCCAGGAGTTTTGGGGCGACAAAGCCACGGATGCCCACCCCAGGACCCCCGCGGCAAACCCCTGGAAGAGGACACAGGGTGGCCCTGGATCCACGGAAACATCGCTCGCACTGCCAGAACCTCCCTTGCCAACTCCAAGCGTGACCAAGTGTGCTCGGCCTCGCAGGGATGGGGGGCTTGATATACTCAGCACTAGACAGGTCGAGACGGGGCCAGAGGGGCAGCAACTTCCCCGCCAACTCGCACGCAAACTTCGACATTCTGAGCTGGCGGGAAAGTTTCTCGACCTGGTCAGTCGAGGGACTGGTACGCCGTGCCGCGGCCGCCTTCGCAAGAAGGTCAGCCATTTCTTTACCTAACTTGTGATATCGCTGCACTTCAGACATATCAGGATCATCTACAGCGTGCCCCTTGACTTTAGTGACAGACTTAAGTCCTGTGGGCTGCAATGTCAGAAAACTACCGCTGTTCGGACGCTTATATGACAGTTGTTTTTTTAGTAGTCATGTGAAACTGCCGAACAACGTTGAGACAGCCCGGGGATCCATTGGAATCAGGAGTCGCAGCTTGTCCCGCAGCACAGATGGCCAAACATTCAGCGGCTTGGGGGGTCTGAGGGTTCGGGGCCCAGAGCGGAGCGCTAGCGTGGCACAGAACCTTCTGATCGGAGCCGCAGCATATAAAACTCCATTCCCCCCTGGACAGATCAGGATTCACATGTCTGAAGCAGCAGCCGTCGAAGTGGAAGCCGCCTTGCGCTTCCATGACTGAATAGCCTTCTCGATCAGGCCAGACTACTTGCAATTATCCTTCAGACGGGGGCGCGGGTATATATATATATATATATATATATATATATATATATATCACCTGGATGTTCAAACCTTCCTCGAGTGAAAAGCAACAACTCAGCGGGATCCTGGAAGCCGATTTCCCTGAGGTTGGGGCGGTTATATTTGAGCTTCTCCAGAATTTCTTCGCGCTCCCCATCGCAGCCAGGACAAAAAAACAGCCTGTGCACAACAGTGCCTGGGGCCTCTTTGCATATCTCACAAAGAGTGTCGGCCTGTTTGTACCCCCTCAAAGCAGCCACCTCCTTGGTCCAGAGTCCCCCACAACTCATGGCCTTCATGTGCCCTTTTCTGGAGAGGTGTGCATTTCTTAGAATTTAGCTGAGCCCGCGCCTGGTCGCAGCACAGGCAGCGGACAGACGGGGACAAACTGGAAGCGCTCTGCCTCTCCAGCACGCGCAAGACCGCGGCGTGCAGAGCGCGTTTGATGAAAGCAGGGCTGCACAGCGTCACCTGGATGACCACCCCAAAGTCATCGACAAGCTCGGTGGATGAACGCATACACCAGCCTATCCTCAGCAGGGACTTCTTCATAGCCGAAATCGGTCCAGAAACGCGTCTCCAGGATCCAGGATCGGGCAAACCTTCAAAAACTTGTTCACAACCTTCACGGAGTTCACGAGAACCGATGCAAAAAGGGTAAGATTTCGTCGAAGCGGCCCAAACTTCCTTTGAATATCTCACTATCGGAATGACTGCGGCGTGCCAGCATGGGTCTCTCTCCGAAATCAAAAGCGATGTCAGCGAACGCTGTCCAGCACTCGGTTGACAAGTTGCTGCAAACGAACGCCTGGCCATAGCTACTTCATAATCAGAAAAACCTCGAACTTCGCTGCCGTAAACAAGCCCAGGAGGAGGACCCGAGACGAAAATACGCTTCGTAAACATACCCAGGACAGGCTTGTGTTTCTTCAGGCGGTCCCGTTTTTTTCTTCAAGCAGCAACTCGAACCTTGAACTTCTTTGATCTGCCACTGGCACGGAAAGCGCGGCCGCAAGTGTGGTCGATGCCGAGGTTGACCGCAGTGTTGCAGTCCGTGCCTGCAAGATCTCCCAGCTCCACACGGATCCGAGAGGCCAGAAGCGGGGAGGAGGCTACAAGCGCCGCCTTCTCGATCGCAACCTGGCCGTGCAAGTCTGAGAGAATGACGTCGTGAATGATGGCCGAGCCTTTGACGATTCCCTCATACACAACCTTATCACTACCAGTAGCACTAATGCCGTAGCCGCCTATGTAGATATCTAATCTAACTTGGTATGGCAGGCCAGCCTTATCGATACTCTTAACTACGAAGACTCTGATCAACGTGGTAGCAACCGAACAGCCAGCAATAATACCATGCGTGACCCGAAAAGGGCCAGTCACCAAGCCACCCATGGATAAAAACCGAGGCATGCGGTAAAAGGAAAATAGCCAGCCGAGCTAAAGGTAACGGGCAGTTCACCTCAAGGCAACGCTGGTACAGTATGTCTAAGGGGATCAGCTCGTAGAACTTAAACCAGTCCCATAACAGTGTTGCTGCGGATTCGCCTGCTGATCGAGCTGTTTCAGCTCGGAAAGCCTGGCGCCATACTACATCTGATGCCGATGGAAAGCTGCTCCCAGCAAGGTAATCCCGTTCGTACTCAGCCTCCCAAGCGGATGCAATACCCTTGCGGCACCGGCCCCACAAACGGTAGCAGGATACAAAGATGCCTATCGGTCGGAACCCGCCAGCAGGCTTGGCCAACAAGGCCGTCAACATGACTTGCAGTTGCTTCGGCACCAATCCTGACCGTTCCATGATAGTGAGCATTATGCTGAGCACCGTCAAGCACTGGTCACTCATGGAGGCATAGTGGCGCATATGGAAGCCGTCGACTGATGTGGCCGTGTGCTCAGCATAAGTGCGACTGGCCACGCGAGAACTGGAGATAACTCTGGCGCAGCATCCATTGGCACTGGTCACGCACGCTAAGCCGTGCGCGGAATGTGTCTGGAGATAACTCTGGCAAAGCATCCATCGGCACAATATGTTCGGGCTCGTCCTCGACCGTGGAAGATGCATGCCATAGATTGGGAAACCTGCGTGCTTCTGCGTCTAACAGAGACAAGGGGTCAGCCATGTGCTCTCCTTCCCCCTTGTCAATCTTGTCTAGAATGAACCTCCTCCACTCCTGTGACGATCGATTACGCTCAGCAGAAAGAACTAGCTGCAGAGCCTCGTCCATGCGACCGAGAAGGGCGTCCCCTTTGCCCCTGTTAAACGACGGCCCAGATACCATACAAATATGAGCTGCCGTGAAGGACGGAGGAGCGAGAGGGGGGGAAGGAAGACGAGAATGCCCCAATCGGGGACGGAGTAGGGGTGCTGAACAATCGACGATGCGAGCATCACGCCGCAGTTATGCTCCACGATCGATGCAGGCGCGGCTGGCGCGGCTTCTCCCGCCTGCGCTGAACCAGAAAGCTCGGACTCAGAAGCGCACGGCGTCTCGGCTCAGGTTCTAGATCTCCCCTCCCCGCCACCCTTTGCCCCTCCAGCCCCAGCCCATTCGTCGCCCACCGTCGCTGTCATGCAGGGCAGCAGGCGAAGAGGCACGACGAGACGAGAGAAGGAACCTGGTGAGAGGGAGGCCCACCAGTAGGGGCATGAAAACTCGGAGGTCCACGTTTTTATGTGTATGCCATCTTCCGTTCCCTTATACAGGGGCCACATCCTTCGGGCAAGGCGAGTCGGGTCGGGATCGCTCCTCCCCTCAAATCTCAAATCTCAAAGCCCAAACTTAGGCCGGACATGCCCTCCGACAGGGGGATGTCCGAAGAGAAATCCGCCGACACTGTCGGCGTGTGGAAGAGGTTTCTCTGTCTGCCTCCTCTTCGTCGTCGTCCTCGTCCTTTCCTTTTTCCTTGCGTCTTCTCCTTTTCCGGGGCCGCCTCCTCAAGCGTTTCGGTCCAAACCGAAATTGAGCAACGTCGTCATTGAGTCGAAGGGAAGCCCCTTCCCTTTGATCCTTTCCCCGGCGCGAGGGGGGGTCCCGGGGAAGGACCCGGGGGAGCACCCGGGGGATGTCCCGGGTCAGATGCGCAGCCCCCCCCCCCTGAAGATGACCTCCAAGATCGCTCATGTAGCCCTCGATGGCTCCAGATCGTTCCCAAGAAGCCTACTAGAGGCTCGAAGATCGCGCCAAGACGTCCAAGTAGCCACGAAGGCTTTCAGGAACGCTTCTGAGATGGCTCCAGGTAGCCCCAGAGCCTCCCAAGGACGTCACCGAGAGTCGTCTGCCCCCTCCTCCGCTAGGAACAGCTCGGCGCTGAGCCTGAGTTAGACAATCATGCCTGGTGATGCGTCCAGGAATCTCTACGGTCTTCGGCCTCCTCCTCCTTCCTCTTCCTTCTCCCTATTCCTCCCCATCCTACCCTGTATTCCACACCTTCCTCCGATTCGTTTCCCCGCATCCTCCTCCCTTATCCTCCTCCTCATCCTGGTTGTTTCCCCTCACTGACAGATCGCTGTCTTCAGGGTCGGCGGCACCGGCCGTAAGGCCTTCCAACAAAACTAGTCAAAACCATACAGAAATATACAAGCCTGACGAAGGACCCAACCATACTCAGCTGCGAGTGCCGTATTATGGGCACCGCTTTCGGTGGAGCTCCCTGTGGGGCCACGAAACGCGCGAGGGGTGCGACGAAATCGGTGGCGCGGACGCACGTGGACACCGCCACCGGGGCCTTCGGTGGAGCTCCCTGTGGGGCCACGATGCGCTGTCCTGGCGCAGATGCATGCGAGCTGCGTCATTGGGACCTTCGCTGGAGCTCCTTGCGGGGCCACGGAGCGCTGCCCCGGGCGGGGGAGACGCATGCGGACTGCGCCACTGCCGCCTGCGGCTGGAGCTCCCCATGGCGCCACGAGGCGTTGTCCTGGGTGGGGGAGACGCATGCGAAAGGTGCCACTGGGACCTTTGGTGGAGCTCCGCATGGGGTCACGAAGCGCTGTCCGGGGTGGGAAACGCATGCGAACGGTGCCACTGGGGCCTTCGTTGGAGCTCCTCATGGGGCCACGGATGGCGTTGGCGCATGCGGGCCCTGCCACTGGAGCCTCCACCGACACGAGGCGCGCAGTTCTGGGTGGCGTTGACGCATGCGGACCCTGCCGCTGGAGCCTTCGGTGGAGCTCCCTACGGGGCCTGCGACGCTGTCCTGGGCGGCGTTGATGCATGAAGACCCTGCCGCTGGAGTTGTCGGTGGAGGTCCCTATGGGGCCACGAAGCGCTCTCCTGGGTGGCGTTGGCGCATGCGGACCCTGCCACTGGAGCCCTTCGGTGGAGCTCCCTATGGGGCCACGAAGCGCTGTCCTGGAGCTCCCTCTGGGGCCACGAAACACTGTCCTGGGTGGCGTTGGCGCATGCGGACGGTGCCACTGCCACTGGAACCTTCGGCTGACCTCCCCATGGGGCCACGAAGCTCCTAGGTGACGTTGGCGCATGCGGACCCTGCCACTGGAGCCTTCGGTGGAGCTCCCATTTGGCCACGAAGCGCTGTCCTGGGTGGTGTTGGCGCATGCGGGCCCTGCCACTGGATCCTTCGGTGGAGCTCCCTATGGGGCCACGAGGCGCCGTCCCGGGTGGCGCTGGCGCATGCGGACCCTGCCGCTCGAGCCTTCGGTGGATCTCCCTATGGGCCTGCGAAGCTGTCCTGGGTGGCGTTGGCGCATGCGGACCCTGCCACCGGAACTTTTGATGGAGCTCCCTATGGGGCCACGAAGCGTTGTCCCTGGTGGCGCTGGCGCATGCGGACCCTGCCACTGGAGCCTTCGGTGGAGCTCCCTATGGGGCCCCGCGACGCTGTCCTGGGTGGCGCTGACGCATGCGGACCCTGCCACCGGAGCCTTCGGTGAAGCTCTCTATGGGGCCACGTAACGCTGTCCTGGGCGGCGTTGGCGCATGCGGACCCTGCCACTGGAACCTTCGGTGGAGCACCCCGCGGGGCCACGAAACGCTGTCCTGGGTGTCGTTGACGCACGCGTACCCTGCCACTGGAGCCTTCGGTGGAGCTCCCTATGGGACCACGAAGGTCCTGGGTGGCGTTGGCGCATGCGGGCCCTGCCACTGGATCCTTCGGTGGAACTCCCTATGGGGCCACGAAGCGCTGTCCTGGGTGGTGTTGGCGCATGCGGACCCTGCCTCTGGAGCCTTCGGTGGAGCTCTCTATGGGGCTGGGAAGCGCTGTCCTGGGCGGCGTTGACGCATGCGGACCCTGCCACTGGAATCTTGGGTGGAGCTCCCTATGGGGCCACGAAGCTCTGCCCTGGATGGCGTTGGCGCATGCGGACCCTGCCGCTGGAGCCTTCGGGGAAGTCCCTAAGTGGCAACGGAACGCTGTCCTGGGTGCGTTGATGCATGCGGACCCTGCCACTGGAGCCTTCGGTGGAGCTCCCTATGGGGCCACGAAGCGCTGTCCTGGGTGGCGTTGGCGCATGCGGACCCTGCCACTGGAACTTTCGGTGGAGCTCCTTATGGGGCCGCGAAACGCCGTCCTGGGTGGCGTTGGCGCATGCAGGCCCTGCCTCTGGAGCCTTCGGTGGAGCTCCCCATGGGGCCAGGATGCGCTGTCCTGGGTGGCGTTGACGCATGCGGGCCCTGCCACTGGAGCCTTCGGTGGAGGTCCCTATGGGGCCACGAACCGTTTCAGGGGTGTACCGAAAGGGGTGGGATGATGCCGATTGTGACGATGATGATGATGCCGTCGGTAGAAGGAGGGAGGAGGAGGGGGCAGGAGGAGGAGAGGAGAGGAAACGTGGGGCGCTGCGTCTTCAAAACGAGGACCCAATACCACACGATCGTTGGGAATCAAAAAGTCGTCCCCGTATGATGTGTGGACTGCGTTTGAATATTCCTCCTGTAGACGGACACGCCCGATTTAAGCCCAAACCTGCCGCGCGGGGGCAGAGACCCAGGCCACCCCGCACTGACGCCGCAACAAAAATCTTGGAAAGGCTCGGGGCTCTGAGCGCCCCTCCCGGCGGAAAACCCCAACTCCTCCTCCTCCTCCTCCTCCTCTTCCTCCTCCTCCTCCTCCTCCTCCTTCCTTCCTTCCCTCCTTCCTTCCTTCTTCCTCCTCCTCCTCCTCCTCCTCCTCCTCCTCCTCCTCCTCCCTTCCTCCTCCTCCTCCCTCCTCCTCCCTCCTCCTTCTTCCTCTTCCCTCCTCCCTCCTCCTCCTCCTCCTCCTTCTCCTCCTCCTCCTCCTCCACCTCCTCCTCCTCTTCCTCCTCCCGCGCCAACGCCACACGATGACGGCGCCCTGGGCGGCGCGGTGGAACCTATCAGGGCGAGGGGGGCGAGCGGGAATGAGGCAACCCCTGGGCGCGCGACCGCAGAGGACTTCCACGGTGCGGACCGGCATTGCTGGTGCTCTCAGCGGTGTCGCCGCGCGGCCCACCCGCGAGCCCCTCGTGGCCCACCCGCCGCCGCGATCCACTGCCGACCCACCCGCGCCGTGACACCCCCGCGCCCCCCCGCCACTCTGATCCGCAACAGTGGGGGGCCACAATCTGTCCGCCTGTGGCTTGAGGCGGATCCGAACGGAGGAAGTTGGCATGCACGGACCAACACATGAACAAATGTCCCGGAATTGCAGTGGCCGCGTCAAGCAGTCGGAGGAACTTGCCAGAAGCACGGAACACACGGGCGATTGGTGTAGACTGGTCTCCAGCAGCAAGTGTCAGGCGTCTTCAAGAGGGAGGCGCTAGAATGTACTAGGACATGGGATCCCAGAACACCCTACGTTCAGCCAGCGTCATGCGTGACGAACTCGAGAACTAACCGTGGCAGAAACAAACACATGTGGCATGCGCACTTGGACCGGGCTAAGCATTCGGCTACAATAAAGCGAACGAGCCGCATACAATTGAGACTCTGCGGCACGATATGGCCATCCTCAACGCAGACTGGCAATGTCACTCACAAGTGGAACATGTTCATTTCGCACGTTGCCTGACCATTGGCCCTCGTCAGCACAAGGGTGGGATGCGAGAGAGAGAGAGAGAGCGAGATGGGGGGATACACAACAAAGACAGAGCTGGACATATGTATATGTAGCGTGTGTGATATGGCAAAAACGGAGAGAGAGAGAGAACAACAAAAATGCACGATTACATAGTAAGCAAGCCCACCTGATTGGCAAAGACAACCACGATGCCAGCCAAAGTGCTTTGCCAGATCTGGCACGGAATGAGCGAAACGAGGCAAACAAAGCAAACGGCGACGCACGAGCCATCACTGGATCACTTCAGAAGCGGTATCGGGCCGGGTTGACGCGGCGCGATACTCCTCCTACTTGTCCTCTCCTTCTCTTCCTCAGCCTCCTCCCCATCATCCTTCCCCTTCCAAAGCAGGACCTGAATCCCACCAGCCCTCTGAGCGGAGGTGGTTTAGTGTGCTTCCTCTTCCACTTCCCTTCTTCCCGTTCAGGGAGGGGCTTAACCCTTTCCCTACCCCCTACCCCTGGATCTGGACATGGGAGGGGGGGGCGCTCGCCCAAAATGGCTCCAACAGGGCTCCGGGTGCTCCCAAATGGCCCAAGATAGCCGACGATGCGTCAAGATAGCTTCCAACGTTCCTCTAAGAGGCCCCCACCAGGGCCAAACGACGGTTCCAAGTGCTCTGGGCATCCCCCTCGAGAGCCCCCCAAGAGCCCAAATCATTCAATACATGCAGACAATCAATGAATGCTGGCTGCGTGCTCGCCGTTTCGCTTCCGATGATATGTTTAGCCCTGAAGGTGGTCCCAAGATGCCCCAAGAGAGCTCCAAGATGGGCCCAAGAGGCCCCCAAGACGGCCCCACGAGCGCCCACGATCGCCCCAAGAGCGCCCCAAGAGGGCTCCAAGGGGCGATTTCGAGGGCCCCAGAAGGGGGCCGGACCGCTCTCATTTCACCGACGCCCTCCACGAGGGAGCCCCAAGAGAGCCCCAAGAGAGCCGCAAGAGGGCCCCATGACCCCCCCTAAAGGGCGCCAATAGGACGCCCTCAAGACTCCTCAAAAGAGCCCCACGACGGCACAGCGATATCCCAAAGAGGACCCCAAAGAGGGCCCAATAATACTCCAAGATGGCTCCAAGAGCCCTCGTCCGCGTCGTCCTATCCTCGTTCTCGTCCTCATCCTCCTCCGCCTTCTCCTACCTGTTCTCCCCGCCATTGTCCCTTTCATTATCGTTCTCGCCATCCTCTTCTTCTTCCTCCTCCTCGCCCTCGTCCTCGTCCATGTTCGCCTCCTCCTCCTCCTCCTCTTCCTCCTCTTTTATCGTCCTCGTCATACGCCTCGCCCTCGTCCTCGTCCTCGGGCGGCAACTGGCTGAAGTACTCTTGAATACAGAAGTGGGAAGATCATGGGCATTACCGAAGGAGAAGGAGGCCGGGCTGATGGAGGACGACACATGCCCCCGCTGCCGCGAATTTTCCAAGACGCCTCGACACAAACACTGGCTGTGCAGGTGCAGCGGCAACCATCCGGTCTTCAAGGGCACCGACCAGTTGGTCGGGCAAGCCCCTGCGCAGGGCGATGCCCCTCCGAGCTCTTGGTACAGAGGCGTCATCCCGAGGCAGTGGACCTTGGTCGATCCGCCTCCTCAGGCTGAGGATTCGAGTCTCCTGGGGGCCCCTCCTCCTCCTCCTCCCTCCCTCCCTCCCTCGCCCCTTCCCCCCTCCTCCTCCTCCTCCTCCTCCTCCTCCTCCTCCTCCTCCTCCTCCTCCTCCTTCTGCTTCTCCTCCTCCTCCTTCTCCTCCTCCTTCTGCTTCTCCTCCTCCTCCTCCTCCTGAAAGTTCGATGGGCCCTGGTTGCATCGGCTCGGGCTCTTCAGACGCCCCTCTCCCTGTCTTCGGGGACGCGTCGGGAGGGGGGCCCGAGTCTGGGGACGAGCAGCTCGGGCGCGTGGGGCTCTCGGCGGCCACCCTTGGGCGCTTCGATCCTCTAGTTGTTGGGCCTTCTGTTGCTGGGCTACTACTACTACTACTACTACTACTACTACTACTACTACTACTACTACTAACTACTACTACTACTACTACTACTACTACTCCTACTACTACTACTACTACTACTACTACTACTACGACTACGACTACTACTACTACTACTACTACTACTACTACTACTACTACTACTACTACTACTACTACTACTTACTACTACTACTACTACTACTACTACTACTACTACTACTACTACTACTACTACTACTACTAACTACCTACTACCTACTACCTAACCTACTACCTACTACCTACTACCTACTACCTACTACCTACTACCTACTACTACTACTACTACTACTACTACTACTACTACTACTACTACTACTACTACTACTATTCCTACTACTACTACTACTACTACTACTACGACTACGACTACGACTACGACTACTACTACTACTACTACTACTACTACTACTGCTGCTTCTACTTCTACTTCTACTTCTTCTACTTATACTTCTACTCCTACTTCTACTTCTTCTACTACTACTACTACTACTACTACAACTACTACTACTACAACAACAACAACTACTACTACTACTACTTCTACTACTACTACTACTACTACTACTACTACTTCTTCTTCTTCTACTACTACTACTACTACTACTATCTCTACTACTACTACTGCTACTACTACTACTACTACTACTACTGCGGCCTGTGCGAGCATAAACTCCTACCGCTGCTTCACTAAACGGCTCGGCTCAGGAGAACGAATATACACCTCTCGACAACAATGACTATTCAAACCACCTCTGTTGCTGGACCCCTTGCAGGAGATCTCAGTCAGTTTTTAGGTGGTTGCTTGCAGAGGTAAGTTACGATGTTTAGAGGTAGCTATCAGGTATAGTAAAGGCGTGCTCCTCTACTTTACGGTTCATCGTGCTGCATACGAGGGTTGCCTTGCTAAAGCTTATCGCGATTCTCCGGGTGCTCTTGGTCCTATCTGGAGGGAGATCGGGAAGCTCCTCGAGGCCGGGGACCCGAAATTCATCACTGAATGTTGGGTCCCGTCGCACCTTGAAGCAGATGAAGGCTGCAGGCAAGGTGTACAATTGTTTGTTTAATTTGTTCCCTACCTAGGCTCTGCCTAGAAGGGTTCTTACTCTGAGGCTTAAAGGGCCGGGCAGAGGGGCACGCCCCGGGCGGTTCCCCCTGCACCCGCCCCGCGGTTCCCCCAGTGACGTTCCCTTAGCTTCGCGTTGCTTATCTCATCTTAGCTTGGCTTATTTCATCTTACCTTAGCTTAGCTTCATCGTACCTCAGTATTTATCTTAGCTTAGCTGACCTTCATCTTGGCTTCGTTGAGCTTTAGCATAGCACAACACAGCATAACATAGCATAGCGTAGCATAGCATAGCGCAGTATCGCATATCATAGCATCGGTGTAACTCTCTACCTAGGCTCTGCTTAGAGGGTTAGCTTAGCTTAGCTTAGCTGAGTTTAACTTAACATGGCGCAGCGCTGCATTAGCATACCAAATCATAGCATAACATGGCCAAGCATAACATAGCATAGCGCAGCATAGCATAGCATAGCATAACATCGCATAGCGCAGCTTAGCATAGCATAGCTAAGCTTAAAGGGCCGGGCAGTGGGGCTCGCCCCGGGCGGTTCCCCCGGCATCCGCCCCGCGGTTCCCCCAGCGAAGTTCCCTTAGCTTCGCGTTGCTTATCTCATATTAGCTTATCATATGTCATCTTAGACTAGCTTCATCTTAGCTTAGCTTAGCTTCATGAAAGTGTTAGATGTTGCTTTCCTAGATCCTCCAACTCCTAGGTAGGGTCGCACTGGGATAATTGCTAGGCCAAGCGGTTGCCGACGCCATTGCTAGCGAGGCTGCGATGTCTTGGAGGGTTGATGAGAGAAAGCGTGCGAGGGCGTGTGACACTGTAACGAAGGCTGCCCTTGTGAGGAGAAGATCAATGAGAGCGCAGTTGGAGGCCATGGCTGCTCATCCTATTTCGCTCGACCATCCTATCCCACAAGCGCCCGACGGAGATGCGCCCCCCCCTCCTCCTCCTCCTCCTCCTCCTCCTCCTCCTCCTCCTCCTCCTCCTCCTCCTCCTCCTCCTCCTCCTCCTCCTCCTCCTCCTCCTCCTCCCCTCCACCCAGCGGCAGCCCTCGGCCGCAGCAGTTGCAGTCTTCAGCGCCCAGCACTGCCTGGACGACTCAGGCGCGCGGTGCACCCGTCGTTTCTCTTCTTCGTCCAAGGCCGCGAGGTGTGTTTGGCTTCGCTCGTGTTGTGAGGCTCCGTGTTCCATCAATGATGTGCTGCCACGTCCCCCCATGGGGTGTGGGGCTGTTCTTTCTTTCGCGAGTTTGCCGCCTCGGCCCTCCCGGCCTCGCGGGTCTCTCCCGGCGGACAGGGGGAGACTACGTAACAATGCTTTCATGATACGGTGGCCCGCGTCGGCGGGGAATGGGTCCATGGGTCTCTCTCTATATGGGGTTCTCCGAAACTGTGCGTGCTTGGATGTGCAAGGGTTGTGGAGCCAGCGGGAAGGACAGGCTGCGATCGCCTGCAGGCCAGTGCCGCCCCCGATGTGATCGCTCGCACACGTCGGAATTATATCGATAGGTTGTTTCGAGGTCTCCCTCCGAAGGCTCTTGGTTTGAAGCGAGGTGTACTTCTGATGGTGGATGGCCCTTCGCAACTGTTATGAATCCCGATTCCTGATTCCTCCTCGTCGTCCTCCTCCTCTTCCTCTTCGTTCTCATCCTCCCCCTCGTCCTCCTCTTCCTCCTCCTCTCTTCATTCTCGTCATCGTCTTCCTCCTTCCCCAAAAGCTCGTCATAGTTTTCCTTATTTCGCCTCCCTGTCTTCACCCTTGTCCATGTCGTCGTCGCCGTCGTCTTCGTCCTCTTTCTCCTCCTCCTCTTCGGCCTTCCTATCCTCATCCTCATCCTCATCCTCACCCTCTTCCTCTATATCGATACCCCATTCTCCTCGTCCTCGCGCCCCCCCCCCGAATCCTCGTCATCCGAGTTTCTCCTTTGTCTTCGTTATATTCATCCTCGTCCTTGTTGTCTCCTCCGCGTCCTCGTTGTCCGCTCTGCTTCGGTAGGCGTGTCCCTTCCTCCCTGCCCCCAGCAGCTCTCATGGGCATCGTCGTCCTCCTCCTCCTCCTCCTCCTCCTCCTCCTTCCCCTCCTCCTCCCTTCTCCTCCTCCTTCTCCTCCTCCTCCTCTTCCTCCTCCCTTCTCCCTGAAGCTCTCATCGGTATCATCCTCTTCCCCCTCCTCCCCCTCCTCCTTGCCTTCCCTGCGAGGGCCCCATTCCTTGAACTCTCTTTGTTCACTCTTGATGCTCGCTTTGACCACCAGCAGAAGCAGCACCACCAACAGCAGCACCAACAGCAGCACCAACAGCAGCACCAGCAGCAGCACCAACAGCAGCTCCTGCAGAAGCACCAGCAGCACCACCAGCACCAGTTACAGCAACAAAAGCACCACCACCAGAAGCACCTGCGGGCACCCGCAGCACCGGCGGCAGCAGCACCAGCAGCAACACCAGCAGCACAGGCAACAGCAACCCACCTCAGGCCGTCAGTGCACACAGGGGGAGTTTCGAACACATCGCATGTATCATCACACAGCCAGCTCGATGTGGTTTTGTCGTGTTATCTCGCGGTCCGGATCAGATCAGATCAGATTCGTGACCTCGGGAAGTGTTGTACCAGGGCAAATCGAAAGCCTAAGAGACGTGAAACACTCGATCGTTGATCCAGGGGCTTGAAGCCCAAAGATAAAAGAAGCTCGAAGTGACGCTTTTTGTCTGTCCCGTTCCCGTTCCCCCATATACCTTGCCCGTCCCCCCCTCCCCTGCCCTCCTTCCCGCCACCCCCGTCCCTCCTTATTCCTCCCCTCCCTCCGCCTTCCTCCACTCGTCGATGTGATCAGCGTACATGCCGAAACAACGTGACTGACTGTGAGACTAGATGCGATAACCTAAGAGCGTATCGGCGCCACGGGGATGTATGGGTGGTCCCTGCCTTGACGACGTGGGTCCTGTTTTTTTGACACGGCGTGAACCTCTCAACCTCGAACGATGTCCGCCCTCATGCGCAGAAAATGTCGACCTATCTGTCGTTCAGGATATCGCGCCGTCGGCTGACTTCGGTGGGTCCTGGAGCCCAGAGCGGACCCCAAGGGGAAGGTGCCAAAGGCCCAACCTGGAACGTCGCCGCCGCGTCGTGGCAGCAGGAACCTGCCGCAGAAGAGGAGCATGAAGAGGGCCGCGCCTTTCCCCTGTAGACTTGCAGCCAATCTTCGCAGACCTCGTGCTCCTGCGGGGCCCGTGCGAAGCAAAGCATCGCACCACTGAACCGCCCGGGGGGCCACCCTCTCCGGACCCCAGCAGGCACAACGCACGTGGATATCATCGGGCCCCCGGGGGGGGGCCAAAGATACCCACATCCAGCGCATCCCAGGGGCGCGGGAAACGGTTCCCCCGCGGCTGTGGACATTGGAAATGAAACCTCCAGTCCCCCTCTTCTGCCCCGTCGTGCTCTCACTGCATCCACTGTCCAAGCACGGAGCTTGCCGGGTAGTCCTCTGGCAGTCTGGCGCCTCCTCCTTCTTCCAGCAACGTTGGGGGAACGAAACATGACATAGACATATACAACTCTGAGGCCCGCGCGGATTCCTCGGATCGGCGCGCTGGACCCCCCTGGCGGCGCCCCGTTCCCCTAGTTGTGCACATCCACCGCACAGGGCCCCGGGAACCAGTTCCTCCAGGCCGCGGGCCTGAAGAGCTCCAGCCGCGGGAGTCGGAGCCTGGTCGAGCACGCGCGGCCAGGGGGGCACGCCTCCGAGCTCCTCGCCTCCGGAGGCGGCAACGGGCAACGCCAGGTTGCCCGAGGCCACACAGCGTTGCCCTGCGATGACGTGCTGGGCTGCTCCGTGCTGCGGTCAGGAACTTCTGCTCAGCGTATCGCCGCTGCGGCCCCAGCGACACGCTGCGCCCTGCGATCGGACACCGTGTCGCTCCGCTCCGCGGGGAAGGAGGATCGGGAAGGCTCGGGACGTTGACGCTGGGGGGCCGGGAAGTGGACAGCTTGCCGCACCGAAACGTGGCCCATGGCAACAGATACAAAAACACCGTGGAAGTCGCATCCGAGCCGAGCCGACACGTTAAGGACAGGAATGCGGCGTGCAGGTAGGCAGAACTCCACCATACCGTTTTTCCACAGTGCAGGCGGCTTCAGTTGTCTACACGGCTTCTACGGCGCACGACGGCTATCGCTGGTGCGCCGAGGCGAGTTGTGCGAAACGCTTCGATGGGAAAACGTAGTTGAGTGCACACGGATGCGCGTGCGAAGTACACAGGGATGTCAAGTGCAGCCTGCTGAAACATCCAGTGGCTCTCTCGGGCGGTTAGAAGTGTATGCACGTGCCGCGTCTGGTGGGGCATGGTTGGTTTCGCCCCCATCCCACCCACCTGCCGTCGCTCGGACGTCCATTCCTCGCGCATGTTTCGATCTTGCGCGTGTGATTGTCGGCAAGCTGGTCCAGGATGCCCCTCGTTGGTCCTCGCCGAGGGAAAGGCACGCGTCCGAGCGACGCCAAGCCCATCGCGGTGTCTCTCCGACCCCGGTCGCAGGATACTCTGGATCGCTGAATCATCGCCCCCCCCCCCCCTTGGAGTGCCCAGGGGTGTTGGCCGCGGCGCGTCCGCGGGGGTGCCAGGGGTGGGACTGGGGTGCGTTCCCTTCCCGCTGGGGCGCGGGGGTGGTGCCGGGGGGGGGGGGGGGGCTGGCCGCGCCGCGCTTTCACGTCTGTCCCCCCCCAGTTGATCGATGAGAAGTTCGGAGTGCCTTCGCGGCGTGGGTTTACCACCATCCTGGAACAGATCCCTATCCCTATGCTGGGCACCTCCTCATCACGATGCCAGCCTTGGGGATTCCCCTATGTTTTGAGGGCGACTCCCCGAGATTGTCATCGCCTTTTGGCGTGTCAGTCTTACGGATAGAGATACGTTCGAGGCTGGCAACGGGTGCTCCGTCGAACTCCACGGGCCACCACTGCGGTGCCACCCCCTCTTTTTCGAGCGGCCCTGCGCAGGGCTGGCGTGGGGGGCTGCTTCTGGGGCGTGCCCCGTCGAGGCCCGCCCCGCCGAGCGCCCTTGAGGACCCTCTGGGCGCGCTCGGGGCCTGCTGCCTGTTCCAGCGGCCCCCCAAAGTGGTGTCCGAGCAGATGGCGTTGGAAGATCGCGCCGCATCGCCGATGCATCGGCGATGCGTCGACCCATGCACCGGCGGTGCATTGGCCCTCGTGGGAGCCGATCTGGTTGTCCCGGACCGTTTTGGAGCGTCAGGAAGCGGAAGAGGCAGAATCGCTAGAATGTGCCGAACAACTTGGGAAAATCGATGATGTTGGACTCTTGGGCCCCTTTTGGGACTGCTCTTTTAGACCCCTTGGGCCGTGTTGGAAGCCTTGTGGGCCATCTGGAGGCCATCTTGGGCGTGAATTAACGATGGCTCCGCGACAGTAGGCCTCTTGGAGGCCTCTCGCGGCCCTTTTCATCTGTGCTGGGGCTGTCTTGGGCCGTCTGGAAGCGTCCCTGGCGCCCTGGTCCTCCCATGGCGCGTCGGGGGCCCCCTCCCGGGCCCCCCCGCCTCATGCATACCCAGGGATATGTAGATTCCACTTCCTATATTTTTACAAGCCCAGGCGGGGGGAAAACCCGTCACCCCCCCCCCAAAAAAAAACGGACTCTCGGGATCTGGGGCTTTGGGAACCTCCAGACGGGCCTCGAAGCGGCCCCCGGGCCTCGCAGGGCGTTTTGCCAAGCCTTCCCAGCACACCTAGGCCGATAAGGGGGGTCATCGGAGACGTCCCAGAGACCCCCAAGACAGCACAAGAGCGCTCCAAGAGTGACCGACGTGACCTCAAGATGGCCCAAGAGGCCTCCAGGACGGCCCCAAAGAGGCCTCCAAGAGCACTGCCAAGAAGGCCCCCCGAGGCAAAAATCATTGATGTTCTTTTGGTTTTTGGTGAGGTCTGCGGTTCTCCTCTATTCGGCTTCCCGACGCTCCAAGACGGCGGTCTTCTGAGCGTTCGAAGCCGCCTGGGGGGCTCCAAAATCGCCCCACAACCGTCCGAAAGGGCTTCCAGGCAGTCCAAGAGAGCCCCAAAACGGCACAACACGGATCCAAGATGGCCCTCAGAGAGCCCCATTGCGGCCCAAGATGGCCCAAAGACACCCTCCGAAACATTCCGAATCATGACCCAGTCGTTCAGGGAGACCGCGGTTGAAAGCAGGGTGGCCCGAGGAAGCCCCCGGAGGCCCCCGGAATACGCCCAGGAGGCCTCCATAAGGCCTTAAAGAAAGCCTGAAACAACTTTGTGAGGCCCCCAGAGGCTCTCCAAGGAGGAACCTCCGCAAAAAAGAGCTGAGGAGGATGGGACGTGTGCGCAGGGTATGGCGAAAATAAGGAAACAGAAGCATGGAGAACAGATAACGAATAACATTATCATAGCGGCGATGCCGGAAAAGGCAACAAGAAGTTATCGCTAAAGTGACGGTTTGACCTTCCTGCTATTTCGCCGGCATACCAAACTCCAAGGACCAAGGTGCATGGCGCGAAGCGCCACTGCAATCTTGTATATATGTATATACATATATATATATACACATATATATCTAGATATATATGTATATATATGTATATGTATGTATATATATATATGTTTATCTCTCTCTCTCTCTATCGCCGATGCGTCCGCGACATCGGCGATACATCGGCGACGCTGGCGCGAAGAACATCGGGCTCCACATCGAGCCGCATCGCCGATGCATCGACGATTCGGCACAGCCCTCCGACCCCACCCAGGAGGCCTAGATGATTCACGCGCCTCCTCTTCCTGGGCACCGTTCACGAGAACCGCGTGCCCCGCAGCCCAGGGCCAGGCCCGCCGCCCTGCTCTCGGAAAGCCTCCACGAGAGCGGCACTCGGGCCACCACGAAACCACCAGCACCGACCGGGTCGGCGAGCCCCGAATGGGGCTGGCCGTCTCAAGCGGCTCCGCAAGCCTGGGACGTTCTGGGACGCCTTGCTCTCAGCCCTCCCCGACGACGCAGGACACGTTGAGAAGGCGCGGGGGCTCCTGAGAAGCCCTGGCGCCTTCTGAGAGGGCCTGCTTCTGAGGGGCTTCTCAAGTCCCCCCCGCGCGCGCCGCCGGGCCCAAGCCGTACGTCCAGCTGGACGCGTCAGGACGACAACCACGCGAAGCCGCCGACAGCAGCTGTCCAGCACTGCAGCCCAGAAGCGCGGCGGGAGAGAGACAGGGCAGGAGAGGGTACCGAACAGACAGGTGGCATAAGAGAGGGACGGTCAGACGTGTTGGGGCAAACCGCACACTTCGGGCGGCCATTGCTGTCTTGGTCCGCCGCGGCGCCGATGCTCGACCCAAACGTTTGGCGTGCCGTCTTGACGCGAAGGCCCACTCTGTGAGACATTGTGGCACAATTCCTCTAGTCTGCCCTGAGAATCGCTTGACAGATCCCTAGCCTCACTGGCGTGGTCTGGGCCCCACTGGCCGCTTTACTACCCTGCATGGGGATGTAGGCTGTGCCCTTCGATGTTAGAAAGGTATGTCCCCAACTGGGGTGGTGGGGTGAGGCTAAACGTGGCATGGTGAGGCTTGGGATCGGCTAAACGTGCAATGATTGAGACAAGGGCTTAGCGCGGGCCCATTCTGGTACGTGTGCAATTGTCAAAAGACGGCTGAATACCCAAGACACGGCCTCACGCCCAAAGGTGTGCGAACGCCTGCGTGCATTCACAGCTGTGTAGACTCCACCGTTTGCTTTCCTTTCGTGCCGTCAAACGCGCATGCCGTCACACCTCAAGTTTTTGTTGGAGGGCGGTTGCACTTGAAAGCCGACAAGAGACATGACCACAGACGTGTGATGCGCAAGATTCGCAACAGCATCCCCAAACCAAATGCAATAGACTTGACCGAGCCCGACCTCCACAAGACCTGTCGAATCCACTATCACCTTGCTATATTTGGTAGGGGGCTGCTGGCGGCAGTGGCCAGAAGTTGGCGTGGTTAGCTGGGATTCGCCACTCCCTTCCCTCCACTCTCTGCTCATCTACCCCCTCAAGACGTCAAACCCTGACAAATGATTCCGAGTCGTTTCTGCTTCCGCCCAATCCCAGCCTGAATGGGGCCTGTCGTGGCCTCATACGACATGCCGCAGTTCTGCGAATGTGTTTTTTCTGACTGAACTTGCATTGCACTCTTTCGATCGCCTGAGTGGCGATAAAGGAAGCACCCATTGCATCATCGGGCATCTGGCGTCTAGACTAGCTGTTAACTGGTGTCTTGAAGCCTTGCAATGAGCTTTCGAGAAGCTCCCGAGAGGCTTCCGAAAGGCTGTTGCCAGATAAACCAGCAATGTATGAATCCATCTTAGTGGCTCACATCCTAGGAAAACCAACTGGGACCTCGACATGTTCGACAATATCCTATTCTGTGCTGAACGTGCCCGCTATGTGTACTCCTACAACTTTGCCACCGCAAGATCCCGCTGCAACTGTGGTACGGCCGCACTGCCGCAGAACATTTTGACAATACGTGCAGACACGTAGAAATACATGCCGTCGCCAATCAAATCCGAAACACGCCCTTGAGTGCATGGCTGGACCAACATAGCGCGCCAGCCCCTGAGCCAGCGGGTGCCAACACTGTTGTAGCTAGAGCTCATCCAAGATCCGCTGATCGACCGGAGGCGAAGCTTCGACATGCTACACTATGACTAAGGCGCACTACGCCGAAGTACAACAATCAGACCAATGGTAACAACCGCTGTAAGATATGGAAATAGGATGGCCAGGTGAGCGGCGCGAACATGACATGCGTGGCTATGGCAAGTGTCTATTGTACCTGGCACGTCTCATGCACGTGTGCAGCACATTCACCGCCTGCACATCAAGACTCAAGCATCGATAGCTTGCCGTGCGTCCCTCCCCGAAGTCCGCAGACGGGTCTTCAGCGACGCTCTGCCACGCCCAAAAGGGGCCCGAGTCTTGCCGCTTGGCGTCGCAAAAGCACGACAACCTGGCGACGGGAGCTGGCTGGCATGATGGAAAATGGGCGCACACATGATACAGTTTACCCGTAATAGAAAGAACGAGGTTTGAACGAGATTGGCCAGTGAAAGTCGCGAAGGATGAGCCGAAGGGGCAAAGATGCAAGGGTACTCTTGGGAAATGTGCCCGTCCTTACTATGCGGGCCATTGTGTATATGCGATCGTTGCATGCCAAGTTTGACTACACACATAACTCACATGATTATTCCCTGCTCTCTTCGTCACGGTGGCTATCTCCTCCGATTCCATCAAGTTCGGATGCAAGCACGGCACAGAGGAACCAGGGCGCTTGCACAACCAATAGCACTTCGGCCGTGGTTCGGCGCACTCTCCACTGCTCTTCTTCCCCCTCCATGTGTTTCAACGCCCTGGCTTGCAACGTCATGATGCCCGAGGGGCCATCACATGTTCTCAGCGCGGGAGCTCCAAACATGACTGGTGCTTTTCTGGACGTATAAGTCTACGGGCCTGGGCGCCCCACACGATGGCTGGGAAAGGCAGAGGCACGGACGAGGACGATGTAAAGGGCGCAACACCAGAGTTGCCCAAACATGATCAGCACGGAGAATATTGCAGTGGAGGCCAGTCCACAAAAAATCTTCCACAAGAAACCCAGCACTGAGACCGCAAGACGTCCATCAATGTTTGGTCTGGGAACGTCACGCTTTCAACCGTCAACCGCAAAACCATCGAAGCCCAAGAAACACAGGACACCCTGGAGGCAAACAGGGTGTTTTTGACATTGGTCTCCACGGTACTATTTCAAATATCCGTGCGCATTACCTGGGTCAGCTCTGGGCCCTCTATTACCACACCCCTTCCCTGTCGCAGGGAGCACACCCTGAGTGGCGCCAGGAGGCGCCGCTGTGGGGGTGCGCGGTCCAACGCCTTTCGAAGGAATCTGCGTGGGCCTCTGAAACCAAATTGCCTATGTACCAGAGGCCTCCGACATGGGTTCCGAATAGATGGCGTCGGTGGATAACACTGCATCGCCGATGCATCGGCGATGCTTTGAGGATGCACTGGCGACGCATCGTCCTCGGCGATGCATCGGCGACGTCGACGTGAACCACATCGGGCTCCACATCGATCCGCATCGGCGATGCATCGGCGATGCGGCGCGATCCTCCGACCCCATCTATTCCGCCCCCATCCAGGAAGCCTAGAATGTACTTCCTTTCGTCCTCCAACGACGACGGCGACGAATGGCATCGCCATCGTAGGCCCCAGAGGGGGCTCCACCGAAGGCCCAAGTGGCAGTGCTCACATGTGGCCCCGCACTCATTTCGGCACACCCTTGACACGTTTCAGGTCCCCGTAGGGAGCTCCACCGAAAGCTCCAGCGGCACTGCTCAGATGCGACCACGCAACAATTTCGGCGCACCCTTCAGACGCTCCGGGGCCCCATATGGAGCTCCACGGAAGGCCCTAGTGGCAATGCGAACATGCGGGCACGCACCCATTTCCGCGCACCAGCTGATGGCCCAGCGCCAGTGTTCACACGCGCACCTTTTACACGTTTCGGGGCCCCATAAGAAGCTCCACCGTAAGCCCCAGCGAGTGCGTCCACATGCGGCTCCGCGCCCATCACCGACCCACCCTTCACACGGGAGATCCCCTTCTTCGTCCCCTCTGCCCCATTGCACTCGCACTTGCTTAACGTTCGGGTCCCTCGCCCAGAGCAGTTGGCCACGGGCGCCAAAGACAGCATTGCAGTGCGGCCCCAGCGAGGGTGCTGCCCTGCTTGGATGATTTTGGCGGCTGCTAGAAGAAAGGCACTTTAGGTGGTGGAACTAACCCAGTTCGTTGTGGTGTGCAGCCCACTTCATTGTGGTGTGCAACCCGCTTCGTATTGGTGTACAAGTACTTAGCCACTTGCGACCCACATGCTATCTTCCGGCCAAGCTTGCCAACTTCTGTAACTGGTTGCAACACTTTTCGAGGCGCCCAAGTTCAGTACTTGCATGTACTAACAAGTGCTTAGCTTCATGCCAAGTTGCACTTAGCAAGTACTTCCTAAGTGCTTCGCATTGACTTACACCAAACACGTCACGACCAATCATGCTGAGTGTTTCCAACATATGTTGCAGGATAAACTATTAGGTTGATGAGAGGGTTTTCATTTCGGTTATAGAGAACAAATCAAACACGCGTTTGCAACAAAAAATGAGATAACGTGTTTAACATAACACCACAGGTGGTTTAACATAAAAGCCACATGTTGCAACCGACAACCTAAAACACAATCCACAAAACATGCGGAAACCCAAACCCCGCACGCGCGCTGATGACGGTGACGAGATTGCATATGCATATGTAAGTGTATGCGTGCATGTGCATGCGTTTGCAGACGCACGTGCGCGCGAGGGAGGATGGAGGAGGGAGGAGGAGGGGGGATGAATTTCGGTGACAGGCAAAAGGAAGAGGAGGGAGGAGGAGGGAGGAGGGAGGGTGATGTCGGTGACGCGTGTTACCTCGGCCTCCCTTAGATAGGCCGCGCAGAAAGTTCAAATTCAGTTTTTGGAATTGCATGTATTTTTTTCTATAGTGGACAATACAGAACTCCGCACGCGCGCGCGCTCGCGCGTGACCATGGTCACCCGCGCGCGGGTGACACGTGTCACCTCTGCCTCCCTTATACGGCCTCACAAGAACTTCAATTTCAGTTTTTGGAAGTACATGCCGACTTTTCTATTGTGGACAGTGCAGACCTCCCCAGCCCGCCGCCGCGCGCGCGGGTGACCCCCCCATCGCGTGGGTCCCCCCGGCCTCCCTCAAGGCCTCGCAAAAAATTCAAATTCACTTTTTGGAATTACATGTCGACATTCCTCTCGTGCGCACTATAGAACTCCACTGCGCGCGCCGCCGCGCGCGCGGCGGCGCGCTCGCGCGGGTTACCCACCCATCGCGCGGGTCATCTCGCCCCCCCTTGAGGCATCACAGAAACTCCAAAGTCATGTTTTAAAATTAAATGTCGACTTGTCGACCGTGGGCAATATAGAACTTCGCAGCGCGCGCCGCAGCGCGCGCGGGGTGATCGCGTGATCGTTGTACACGAGCGCGCGTGCGCGTGCGTATTTGCGCGCGTGCGCGCCTCCGTGTGCGTGCTCGCGCGTGCGATGGGCGGGTGCATAATTCTTGTGATTGCGCGCGCGTGCGCGAGCGCGTGCCCGCGTTAGTTCTTCATTGCGCAAGGGGCGCGGCGGCGGATCTTATTGTGCCAGGTCAATTTGGCGGATTTTGGGACTGTCTTGGGCATCTTGGGGCCATCATAGGCTGTCGTGGGGCTATCGCCCGGACCCTAGCACCGCAACCCTGACCCCGTAACCCTAGACCGAACGCCCTTGCCCTACACTTTAACCCGGACACCAAAACCATGAACCAATCCTAACCCGAACACCCCATCCCCAACCGCCGCCTTCAAGATGGCGTCAAGAAGCGCCCCCGCCAAGGCGCCCCCCTGCTTTATAAGGCCCAGCGCGGGGGCTCTGACCATGGCCTATAAGCCTATATGGGGCCTCCAAGAGTTAACCCCCGGTGCCTCATGATGTTTGGATGTCGGGGCCTTCTTCTGGTATGCGTGCAGCGTGCAAAATGTGTATATATATATATATATATATATATATGTATATATAGGGTCTCGGGGTGCTGCGTCTCAGGGCAAGCCAGGGCCGCGTGGCCACAGGGCCTTGAGTTCCTTGGGGGCTCCAGGGCCTCTTGGCCTATGGCCTCGGGGTCTCAGGGCCTGAAATGCCGCGCGGCCGCATTGGGGTCCAGGGCCTTCGACGACGACGGCGCCGACGACACGCATTTGGTGATTGTGCGCGTTGGATGCCGCGGGGCCCTGAGGTGGGCGTCCTTAAGCCCGCGCGGCATTTAGCATTCGCGCCCTCGCTGATTCCTCGTTTACACCTGCCGATGCCTTCCCACCCCGTGTTTCCGCCGCCGTTTTGGCCCGTGCCGCGAAACGTCTCTCGCGCACCTCAGCGCCTGGCGCTATCATAGTTTGGCTGCCAGCTTCCACCGCACCTAGGCGCTTGGCGCTATCAGATGTGGGGGACATGGCGCCCCAGAAACAACAGAAAAGGAGCTACGACGAGGTGGTCAAGGAAAATGCAGAGCTGGAGACAACCATGGAAAACATGAAGGCGGAAATGAAAGACAAGGATTCCGCCCTCGACTGGTGCACGCATGGCCTCGACAACCTGAAGCTCGGCGTGGGGTGGCGCAGGATGGGGATCGCGGATGCGAAGCGCCTGCGGCACGTGCAGGTGCAGCCCGCGACATCATTCGCAACTATGACCAGCGAGTCGATGCGATGCAACAGATCGCCGCAGCCGAGAGCGCATCCGCTCTCGCCAGGCAACGCGATGCATGCACGCGGCAGAGCGCGCCGCGGGATTACAAGCGGCCCGCGCTACGGTCGCTGCGTGCACAGCTTCGGCAGCGGCAGCCGCGGCGGCCGAGGTAACCCCGCAGCCCACCCCAGCGGACTACGATCCGCCCTTCCAGAGGTAGGCGACGGAGTCTCATAGTCTCAGTCTCAATCTCAAGACGCCGCGGCAGTTTGCAGTTAGATTGCAGCCGCGGTTGCAGTGCGCCGCGGCAATTTGCAGTTACAGATTGCAGTCGCCGCTTCCCCATATCTTGCGCTGCTGGCGGAGTTGACCGCAGCGCCTGGGCGATCTCGCCCAATGATCGATGCGTCTTGCAGCTCGCACTGCCATGAGAAAACCACTCCCTCGTTTTAGCATCCCTCGCCCCGTCGCAAGTTCAAACTACGGCGACGACGACGACGGCGACGAACCACCCCGAAGGCCGCTGGTCTTCACCTCTTGGAGGCCCCAGCAGGGATTCGCATGCGCAGGATTGCCTCAGGGCCATCATGGGCTCAATGGGGCATCGGGGCCGTCGTCGGCCCATGGTGGCCGCGCGCCCTCGCGGCACCCTGGGGCCACCGTTGGCGCGGGGCGCATCGGGGCCTCCTTCGATTTCGGGGGGGGGGGGGGGCGCGGGGGAAGGGGACCCGAGGCCAAACGATGTCGGGGCCTGGCGGTGCCGACGCAGCTGTGCCTGCACTGCGTCTGGAACCACATTCCCCAAACACTGCCTGCGCGCATAAGGCTTCTGATGTGTGAGTGGCGGTATCTGGGCATCGCTCGGACGTCCACTCCTTGCGTTTTTTTCGGTTTCGTGCGTGTTTTTTCGCCACATGATCAAGGATGTTCCTCGAGGGATCCCGCCGAGAGAAAATGCACACGTCCGAGCGATGCCAAGGTACGGCGGCTCTGTGCTCGCCGTCGCCGCTCCGCGGCCGCCCCGTCGCCGCCCGTCGCACGGGCTTGGCTGGCGGCTTGGCGGATGCCTGCTCGCCGTCGCCGCCCCGTCGCCGCCGCGTCGCCGCCCGTGGCCTGGGCCTGCGGTGGCGACCAGGCGGATCCGTGCCCGCCGCCTTCGCCTCGCCGCCTCGCCACTTGCACCGCGTAGATTGCAGCGCGTAGATGGCATCGCATAGCTTACACTATATACAGATTCCCTGTTCTACAAAAAGAATAGACTCTACCCCCCCCCCGGCGTTATCCGCCCCCCTTTCGGGTATGTAAACCATAAATGATTATGACCACATGTCCATCCTAAATATGAATTTACACTATCCCACGGGGACCGGTATCGCCCCCCATGAGGTTCCCTTTGTTTTCATATAAAAAACATGCGCGGGGACATCTGTTGTTCTAAACTAACACTTTGTCACGAATCCCTTGCAACAAATGGGACGAAATGCACACGCGCGCGCCGTAACGCGCGCATGCCGCAATCCTCCAAAAACCTTCGGTGCCGGAAGGACTTCGCAATCGAGTTTCCAAATAAACATACAAAAGCACGGGGTTTCGCAACACTTATCTGCTAAAAGAACTTACGCGCGAGCTCCTGCGAAATCTTAAGAAAACCATAGGTGTTGTTTCAAGATGTTCACAACATTCTACCAAACGGGCTTCGGGCGCGCGCGTGTCGAAATCAGTCGAACGCCCTTGCGCGTGTGCCGTCGCGAGAATCCTCTGCAAAAAATGGGGCGACGTGCAGACGCGCGCGTCGTCGCGCGCGTATGCCGAAATCCTTCGAAACCCATCGGCTTCGGAAGGATTTCAACATCGCGTGTCCCACAAAACTACAAAAACACATGGATTAGCGATCCATGGATCTGGCGCGCCATCGCCGCATGGGGCGTGGCCGACGAGGCCGAGGGCGAGGGCGTGGGCGGGGCCGCGCAGTGCCACTCCGGAGGGGTAGGGTCCGCGAAACAGCCCATGATTCTTCGACCGCGCCTCCCTGGGCCGGGGGCGCCAACATGCGTCGAGAACGGGGTCCGGCGGCGGGGCCGAAGCCACCACCTGCACGCAGCAAATCTCGGGACGCTCCCCTGCCCTGTCTCCCCTCTTCTGTCTGGCCCCGAACCCCCCCCTCCTCCTTCTCCCTCCTCCTCCTCCTCCTCCTCCTCCTCATCCTCCTCCTCCTCCTCCTCCTCCTCCTCAGGCGGTCCAGAAATGCCCTAAGACGGCCCAAGAGGCCCCCGAGAAGATCCCAAAGGCCCCCAAGAGGCCCAAGGAGGCCTGCAAGATGCCTCCACGAGGCTCCCAGGAAGCTCCCACGAGGCCCCAAGAGTGCCCAGAGGCTCCCAAGATGCCCCCTCCTCCTCCTCCTCCTCCTTCTCCTCCTCCTCCTCCTCCTCCTCCTCCTCCTCCTCCTCCTCCTCCTCCTCTCCCCCCTTCAGGATCTGCGGCCTGGGCTCGAACGCGACCTCTGTCACCAGCGTGTAGCCGCGGCTCTCGACCCTGTCTAGCACCTGCGGCACAAAATTACAGATCGTGGGCCACAGGGCGAGGACGATGCAGGAGGACGAGACTAGACAAAACGAGAAGGGGGAGAGAGGGAGAAAGATGCATGGAGGGTGGCGGACGGAGCGACGGAGGGGTGGGGGGAAGAGGGGAGGGAGGGAGGTGGGAATGGGAGGGGGAGTTGGGGAGGGGCGTGGGAAGGTGAGGGAATGAAGGAGGAATTGGGTTGAAAGGTAGGCGCGAGGTCGGAGAGGGGCAATCTGAGATGGGGCCCCCAGGGCCTGCGGGGGACAATGCCTGCCTCCCTGACTGACCTCGGCGGCAAGCCCGGGTGCCCCGGTCACCCCTGCCTTTCGTTTGCGACCGTGCACGGCAGCAAGCTGCCACTTCCTCATCCTCGGCCTCCTCGACTAGCAAGCCAGTCGCCTGCTCCGCGTCTTCTGTCGTGTCGTCGAAGCGCGAGCAGCTGGTCTCGAGGTCGGTGATGCGCTCGACGACCATCGTCTGAGGGGTGCCAGAATCTGGTTTGAGGAACATCACGAAAACCACAACAAAATCCGCGACCGTGCCGTTGGGTATGGAGTGGGCGCGCCCTCAGGTCCTTCGCCTAATTTGACTAATCCACTGAGCCTCAGTCCTCACTCCGGAGGAGTCTCTTAGGGGCCCAGAGCCGAACTTGCCAAATTTGGCGGGGCTTCCCCCGCATCTTCTCGCATGACTTGTTCGGAACCAAGAGGGCCCCAAGATGGGCCCAGAGAGTTCCAAGATGCCTACAAGACGGCCCAAGAGGGCCCCGCGTCGCCCAAAGGACGCCCCAGGAAGGCCCCCAGACGGCCCAAGATGTCTCCGGGACGCCCCAAGAGAGTCCCAAGAGCCCCAAAATGGCCCCAGAGGCGTCCAAGACGGAAGAAGAGAGCACACACGCAGCTCGAAGATGTGCCCAAAAGAGCGAACACGAACCGAAAATCCAAGCCTTAAGCCCCACGAGGTCCCCAGGAGGCCCACAAGAGGCCCCAAGCGGCCCGCACGAGGCCCCCAAGAGGCCCAAAAGGCGCCCCGAGGTGCCTCAAAACGGCTCCCAAGAGGGGTCAAACTGGCTTCCAAGAGGCCCCCCGCGATATCGCGACACCAAGGCCCAGCCAAGGCCCAGGAACGGGCGGCAACGCAACAGTCTCTGAACACCAAGGCTCCCAAGAGCGCGGGGTGACGTAACAAGCTCTCAACGCCAAGGCTCCCGGTACGAACGGTGGTGTAAGTCCTTTTGGTTCCTGTTTCTGAAGTCATTAGACCTGGGCCGGCACGGAAACGGAAAGAGCGCTTCAGAAACAGAAACCGAAATTACTCACACCACCGTTCGTACTGGGAATCTTGGCGTTGAGAGCTTGTTACGTCACCCCTCGTTCGATTGTTGCGTTGCCGCCCGTTCCTGAGCCTTGGCTGGGCCTTGGTGTCAGGAACTTGTGACGTCACCGCTCTCTGCTGGGATCCTTGGTCTTATCAGCTTGTGTACGTCACCGTTCGCTCTTGGGAGCCTTGGTGTTCAGAGCTTTTTGCGCTACCGATCGCTCTTTGTTTGGCGTCTCTGGGCCTTCGTGGGAGTCCTATTGGGGCCCTTTTCGAGCCCTTTTAGGGGTCTCTTGGGAACCTCTTGGGGGCCTCGTGGGGGGCTCTGGGGGCCTCCTGGGAGCGTCTTGGGGCGAAAGGCTAGACTTTTCGGTTCGTAGTCCCCCTCTTGGGGCCGTCTTGGGCCGTCTCTGGGGCCGTCTTGGGGCCCTCTTGGGCCGTTTTGGGAGCCTCTCGGGAGCCTCTTGGGCCGTTTTGGGGCGGTCTTGGGGGCCTCGTGGACCGTCATCAACGCCGTGAAAGCCAAAAAGCCGGGTATGTTAAAAATATTCGTTTCCCACAAGAAAACCAATGAGTGTGGCCTCCTGGTTGCCTCTTGGGACGCCTCTTGGGGGCCTCTTGGGGCTTCTTGGGGGGCTCTGGGGGCCTCCTGGGAGCGTCTTGGGGCGAAAGGCTCGACTTTTCGGTTCGTGGTCCCCCTCTTGGGCCAGTCTTGGGGCCCTTTTGGGCCGTCTTGGGGCCCTCTTGGGCCGCCTTGGGGCCCTCATGGGCTGTTTTGGGGGCCCATTGGGAGCCTCTTGGGCCGCCTTGGGGCGGTCTTGGGGGCCTCTTGGGCCGTCGTCAACGCCGTGAACGCCGAAAAGCCGTATATGCGAAAAGTGCACGTCTTCTTTAGGCCAATCCATGAATTTAGACTTTTGGGGCAGTCTTGGGACGCCCCTTTGGGGCCTCTTGGGGGCCTAGTGGGCCGTCTTGGGCGGTCTTGGGCTCTCTGGGAGCGCTCTTGGGCCCGTCTTGGGGAGGAACCCGCAAAACATGCAAAAACCCACAGGGAAACCCGAACACGGCCATTACCAACCCTGCGCCCGCCCGGCCCTCGCCCCTCCCCTAGACCCCTCCCTTAAGGGCTTCGCCCCAACTCAACGTCATTACTCGTACCTCGCTCTTTCCGTTACCTGGCCTGGCACAGAAACTGAAAGAGCGCTTCAGAAACAGAAACCAAAATTACTCACACCACCGTTCGTACTGGGAGCCTTGGCTTTGAGAGCTTGTTGCGTCACCCCGCGCTCTTGGGAGCCTTGGTGTTCAGAGATTGTTGCGTTGCCGCCCGTTCCTGAGCCTTGGCTGGGCCTTGGTGTCAGGAATTTGTTACCTCACCGCCCTCTGCTGGGAGCCTTGGGTTTTATCAGCTTGTGTACGTCACCGTTCGCTCTTGGGAGCCTTGGTGAAAAGAGCTTTCTGCGCTACCGATCGCTCGTTATTTGGCGTCTCTGGGCCTTCCTGGGAGTCCTATTGGGGCCCCTTTCGAGCTCTTTTGGAGGCCTCTTGGGAACCTCTTGGGGCCTCTTGGGGCTTCTTGGGGGGCTCTGGGGGCCTCCTGGGAGCTTCTTGGGGCGAAAGGCTAAACTGTTCGGTTCGTGGTCCCCCTCTTGGGGCCCTCTTGGGCCGTCTTGGGCGCCTCTTGGGCCGTCTTGGGGCCCTCTTGGGCCGTTTGGGCCTCTTGGGCGCCTCTTGGGCTGTCTTGGGACGGTCTTTGGGGCCTCTTGGACCGTCTCCAACGCCGTGAAAGCCGAAAGCCGTGTACGGTAAAAATGTACCATTCCCCATGGGAAATCAATGATTTGGCCTCCTGGTGGCCTCTTGGGACGCCTCTTGGGGGCCTCTTGGGGCTTCTTGGGGGGCTCTTGGGGCCTCCTGGGAGCGTCTTGGGGCGAAAGGCTAGACTTTTCGGTTCGTGGTCCCCCTCTTGGGACCGCCTTGGGGGCCCTCTTGGGCCGTTTTGGGGGCCTCTTGGGAGCCTCTTGGGCCATCTTGGGGGGCCTCTTGGGCCGTCTTGGGCGCCTCTTGGGCCATCTTGGGGCCCTCATGGGCCGTGTTGGGGGCATCTCCGGAGCCCCTTGGGCCGCCTTGGGGCGGTCTTGGGGGCCTCTTGGGCCGTCGTCAACGCCGTGAAAGCCGAAAGCCGTGTACGGTAAAAATGTACCATTCCCCATGGGAAATCAATGATTTGGCCTCCTGGTGGCCTCTTGGGACGCCTCTTGGGGGCCTCTTGGGGCTTCTTGGGGGGCTCTTGGGGCCTCCTGGGAGCGTCTTGGGGCGAAAGGCTAGACTTTTCGGTTCGTGGTCCCCCTCTTGGGACCGCCTTGGGGGCCCTCTTGGGCCGTTTTGGGGGCCTCTTGGGAGCCTCTTGGGCCATCTTGGGGGGCCTCTTGGGCCGTCTTGGGCGCCTCTTGGGCCATCTTGGGGCCCTCATGGGCCGTGTTGGGGGCATCTCCGGAGCCCCTTGGGCCGCCTTGGGGCGGTCTTGGGGGCCTCTTGGGCCGTCGTCAACGCCGTGAAAGCCGAAAAGCCGTATATGCGAAAAAACGCACGTTTCCCTTACGAAAGTCAACGGTTTTGGCATCTGAGGCCCTCTTGGGGCGCCCCTTGGACGCCCCTTGGGGGCCTCTTGGGCGGTATTATGCTCTCTTGGAGCGCTCTTGGGCCGTCTTGGGGGGGAACCCGAAAAACATGCAAAAACCCAAAGAAAACCCGAGCACGGCCAATAGCACCCATCCTTCCGACCCTCCCCCCTCCCCTGGATCCCTCCTTAGAGGGCTTCGCCCAAAAACAACGTCATCACTCGTACCTCGCTCTTTCCGTTACCTGGGTCGACACGGAAACGGAAAGAGCGGACCAGGAACTTGCCCGAGAGGGCTCACGGCACCCTTCGCTCTTGGGAGCCTAGGTGGTAAGAGCTTGTTACGTCACCGCTTGCTCTTGGGAGCCTTGGTGTTCGGCAACTTTTACGTTGCTGTCGCTCTTGGGAACCTTGGTGTTGAGATTTGTTTACGTCACAGTTAGTTCTTGGGAGCCTTGGTGTGCACGAGTTTGTCACGTCACCGGTCGCTCTTGGGAGCCTTGGTGGGAAGAGCTTGTTACGTCACCACTCTCTGTAGGGAGCCCTGGTGTTCAGAGATGTCTACATTGCCGCTTGCTCTTGGGAGCCTTGGCGTGACGAGTTGTTTACGTCACCTTAGCGCATGGGAGCCTTGTGGTGTGAAGAGCTTGTTACGTCGCCGCTCTCCGTTTGGAGCCCTGGTGTTCAGAGACTTTTACGTTGCCGCTCGCTCTTGGGAGCCTTGGTGTGACGAGCTCTTTACGTCACCGCGCTCTGGGGAGCCTTGGTGTCAAGAGCTTGTTACGTCACCGCTCGCTGATGGGAGCCATGGTGTTCTTGATTGCGTCTTAGGCCTCGTCGGAGTCTTCTTGGGGGCCCTTTTGGAGCCCTTGGGGATGCCTTTTGGGGCACATGTGGGCCGTATTGGGGCCCTTTGGGGCGTCGTGGAGGCCATTGGCCGTCTTGGGGCTCTCTCGGGGGCCTCTTGGAGCCCTCTTGATAGCCTCTTTGGGCTCTTTTGGGACTCTTCTGGGGACGTCTTGGAGCCCCCTTGGGCCGTCTTGGAGCCCTTTTGGACTGTGTGGGGCTCCTCTGGGGCTGTCTCGGGGCCCTCTTGGAGTGTGGGCCGTCTTGGGGCGATCTTTGGGGGCCTCTTGGGTTGGACCGCTCTTGGTCAGAAACAACAAGAACCCCCAAAACGTGCAAAAAACATAGACAACTCAATGCTTGTTGCCCCTGGGGGCCGTCTCGGGAGCCTCTGGAGAGCCTTTGGAGCCGTCTCGAGGCTCTCTGGGGCCGTCTGCAGGCCATCTGAGGCTCGCTTGGGGCCGTCTTGGGGCCCTGTGGGGCTGTCCGTCTTGGAGCCCTTGGGCCGCGACACTCGAACAACTACTAAGAAACGTGCCATGGGAGCCGCCCAGGAGCCGCTTCACTCGAAAACACACGCAGAAAACTGGCCATTAGATCCGCGGTGTGCACTCCTCGCCCCTCCCCTGGAACCCCTCCCTTTAAGGCTTCGCCCCACCAAAATGTTCATCACTCGTACCTCGCTCTTTCCGTTACCTGGGCGGGCACGGGAACGGAAAGAACGGACCAGGAACTTGCCTCAGAGGGCTCACGGCACCCTTCGCTCTTGGGAGCCTAGGTGGTAAGAGCTTGTTACGTCACCACTCTCTGTTGGGAGCCCTGGTGTTCAAAGACTTTTACGTTGCCGCTCGCTCCTTGGAGCCTTGGTGTTGGGAGTTGTTTACGCCACCGCGCTCTGGGGAGCCTTGATGTTCAGAGCTTGTTGCGTCACCGCTCGCTGTGGGGAATCATGGTACTCCTTAGCGTTTCTGGGGCTTCCTGGGGATCCATTGGGGGCCCTTTTGGACCGTTTTGGGACCCTTGGGCAGTCTTTGGGCCAGCCCAATCCCTACACCCAAGCAGTCCAGACCCCATACCGCCTCTTCGGGTCCGCTTGGGAACATGTTGGGGCCCTCTTGGGGCTCTTTTGGGGTCGTCTGGGGGCCCTCCTGGGCCGTCTTGGGGCCCTCTTGGGCCGTCCGGGGGCCCTCTTGGGCTGTTTTCATGCCCTTCTGGGAGCCTCTGGGGCCGTCTTGAGACGATCTTTGGGGCCTCTGGGGCAGTGTTGGGCCTGTCTAGGGGCTCTCTTGGGCAGGTTTGGCCCCTTGGGGGCGCCTCCGGGGTCGTCTTGGGACGATCTTTGGAGCCTCTTGGGCCGTCTGGGGCCCTTCTGGGAGAGAAAAAAGGAAAACCAGAAACACATGCAAAAACATGAAACCATAGGGGCCCTCTTGAGGGCCTCTGGAACCGTCTCGAGACTCTCTTGGACCGTCTGGAGGCCATCTGGGGCTCTCTTGGGGCAGTCTTGGGGCCCTCTGCAACAGTTTTGGGGCCATCTTGGGCCGTCTTGGGGAAGCCTTGCAGAAACCATAGACACATCAATTATTGTTTTGTTGCCCCTGGGTGCCCTCTCGGGGGGCCCTCTTGCGGGCCTCTGGAGCCGTCTTGAGGCTCTCTTGGACCGTCTGGAGGCCATCTGAGGTTCTCTTGGGGCTGTCTTGATACCCTCTTGGGCCGTTTGGCGGCTCTTTTGGGCCGTCTTGGAGCCCTCCCTAAGGGTTTCGCCCCATCAAATAACGTACATCACTCGTATCTTGCAATTTCCGTCACCTAGACCAGCACGGAAACGGCAAGAGTGCCACAGGAACTTGCCCGAGATGGCTCATGGTACCCTTCGCTCTTGGGAGCCTTGGTGTGAAGAGCTTGTTACGTCACCGCTCGCTGATGGAAGCCACGTTCTTGAGCGTCTCTTGGGCCTCGTCGGGGTCTTCTCGGGGCCCTTTTGGCGCCGTTTCGGGCGCCCTGTTGGGGCAATTTTTGGCCGTCTTGGCGCGTCTTGCATGCCTTTGGCCGTCTTGGGGCTCTCTTGGGGGCCTCTTGGGGCTCTCTTGGGAGCCTCTTCGGGCCCTCGCGGGCTGTGTCGGGGCCGTCTTGGTGCTCTCTTGGGCGGTCTTGGGGCTCTTTTGGACCGTTTTGGGCCCCTCTGGGGCCGCCTTGGGGGCCTCTTAGACCGTTTCAGGTTCTTTTCGGAGGCCTCTTGGGCTGTCTTGCGACGATCTTTCGAGCCTCGTGGGCCATGTTGGAAGTCTTGGACCGAAACAAATTGTGGGTTGTCTTGGACCCTTCTTGGACCGTTCTTGGCTATAACAATCAATTTGGTTTGCCCCTGGGGGCCCTCTCGAGACCCTCTGAGGGCCTCTGGAGCCGTCTTGAAGCTCTCTTGGAAGGTCTGGAGGCAATCTGAGGCTCTCTTGGGGCCGTCTTGGTGCCCTCTTGGGCAATTTTGGGGCCTTCTTGGGCCGTCTGGGAGCCCTTGGGCCGCGTCACTCGCAAATAAAGTAGGAAACGGGCCATGGGGGCCGTCCGGGAGCCGCTCCATTTGAAAGCTGGCCATTATATCACATCCCACCGAGCTTCGCCCATCCCATGGACCCCTCCCTTACGGGATTCGCCCCACCAAATTACGTACATCACTCGTACCTCGCTCTTTCCGTCACCTGGGCCGGCACGGGAACAGAAAGAGCGCTGCAGGAACTTGCCCGACAGGACTCATGGCACCCTTGGCTCTTGGGAGCCTTGTTGTAAAGCGCTTCTTACGTCGCCGCTCTCCGTTGGGAGCCCTGGTGTTCAAAGACGTTTGCGTTGCCGCTCGCTCTTGGGAGCCTTGGTGTGACGAGCTTTGTACGTCACCGCGATCTGGGGAGCCTTGGTGTCCAGAGCATGTTGCGTCACCGCTCGCTGATGGGAGCCCCATGGTGATCTTGAGCGTCTGTGGGGCCTTGTCGGGGTCTTCTCGGGGCCCTTTAGAGCCCGTTGGGAAACCTTTTGGGAGGAGGAGGAGGAGGAGGAGGAGGAGGAGGAGGAGGACCAAGATAAACCCAAGGCGCATCAAAGATGTTGTAAACAAAATGCCCCCTCCAAATCCGCCGGCCCCCTTGTGGGGCCACCAGGCTGTAGGGCGAAGGTTCGCAGTTTCCTGTACCAGTTGCAACATCTAGTTTCCACTGTTACAGTTCTGCATCTTGCTGCATACTGTTTCTTGTTGATGGACCGCGCGAGGGGGGAAGGCCCAAAACGGGCATTTTCACCACGCCCTAAGCGTGCACTCTGAATTGCTAGGGTGGGTAAACATGAACACCCCTCACGCAGATCGGCGGGGTCCGGGTCAAAAAACACAAGGGATTTGCCACATCTGAAATTCGGTGGCACCCCTCAGGCAGATCGGCGGGGTCAGGGTCCAAAACACACAAGGGGTTTGATACATTTCTGAAATTTGCTGGCACCCCTCACGCAGATCGGCGGAGTCAGGGCCCAAAAACACAAAGGATTTGCCACATGTCTGAAATTCGCTCGCACCCCTCACGCAGATCGGCGGGGTCAGGGCCCAAAAACACACAGGATTTACCACATGTTTGAAATTCGCTGGCAACCCTCACGCAGATCGGCGGGGTCAGGGTCCAACAAACACAAGGGATGTGCTACATTTCTGAAATTCGCTGGCACCCCTCAGGCAGAACGGCGGTGTCAGGGTCCAAAAACACAAGGGATTTGCCAGATTTCTAAAATTCGGCGGCACCCCTCACGCAGATCCGTAGGGTCAGGGTCCAACAAACACAAGGGATGTGCTACATTTCTGAAATTCGCTGGCACCCCTCAGGCAGATCAGCAGGGTCAGGGTCCAAAAACACAAAGGATGTGCCACATTTCTGAAATTCGGCGGCACCCCTCACGCAGATCCGTAGGGTCAGGGTCGAACAACAAACAGGTCCCGATACTGCTTCTCGGCGGCGCCCAAACCTCATGATCTAGCTTGTGCATCTCCCGTTATCCGAGACAGGGGGCCGGCGGCATGTGGCGAAGCCCTGACGGATTACTTCTTCATGGGTCCCTGTATAAATTAGCGGCCTTGCGGAAGGTGGACCATTAGAACACAAAAACCGTCTGAGAATCCTCAATCGTGCAACAGCTCAGTTCCGGTCAAGACGACTGTCCTGACACTCCCCAAAAAAGGCCAGACCACTGTCCCTGGGACCTCAACGCCGCGAAAATCAATGCGATTGCTGCGCCCAACAAAAAATCCCACGTCGTCTGGCCCGCCCCAACGGCACGCCCGGGGGTGTCACGACGGGCACGGCGGCGAGAACGGAGGGAGGAGGACACGGGGGACACGGAGGGGGCAAGACGACGAGGGGAGGGCGGAGACGGAGGAAGGGGGAGGGAGGAGAGCCGTGGGGCGGACGCGGGAGAGAAGGCAGCCTGGCCGCCCGTGCCCGTCGTATCCTCGCGGGGCGGCGGGGCGGTGGAGGGAGGGGGGGGGGGGGGGGGCGCGGGGCAGCGCGGGTCCACTCCTCTCCCCTCCTCCCCTCCTCCCTCCCCCCTCCTCCGTCCTGCCTCCTCCTCCCTCCCTCCCTCCGGCCCCCTCCTTCGCCCTCTCGTCCGCCCCCCCTCCGCTGCTCATCCAACGCACTTACCCTGCACCATCGACATCAACACCTTCCTCCCTCCTCCTCCTCCTCCTCCTCCTCCTCCTCCTCCTCTCCTTCTCTCCTCTTCTCTCCTCCTCCTCCTCCTCCTCCTCCTCCTCCTCCTCCTCCTCCTCCTCCTCCTCCTCCTCCTCACCAGCACCAGCACCAGCACCAGCACCACCCCTCCCTCCCTCAGACTCCGGCCCTCCCTCACCCACCCGCCTCCTCCCGCCCCCGCCCCTGGCTGCTCCTCCTCTCCTCGGGCAAAAGGCTAACACAAGGATTAGACGATCCACTGATTCGGCAGATCCATGGAACGGGGGAAGCATCGCCAGGAACGTGAGGCCAATACCCGCTCATGTGGTCACGGAGCGCGCCGACTCTCTACGGACACGGGACCCGTCGCTGATCCACGCGCCTTGCTCCATGCTTGCACACTTTTGGTAGGTGGACCTCTCAAGCTCTCCTCCGCATCTGGCGGTGTGCGCTGCGAGCAGGAAGACAGCGATGCCACAGGAAAGCGCGGCATTGACACTGTAGCTCCGCACGCATGACGAATGTTAACGAGCAGGAAAACAGAACAGCCTCAGGAGAGCGAGGCATTGACAGTGTAGCTCAACATTGACACGGTGGTGGCCGGGGAGCCCCCGCGACATGTCCACGAGCGTTGCTGCACCTCGGCGGGTGTGGACAGAGGACGCGCTGAGTGCACGCGCCTTGCTCCATGCTTGCGCTTCCTCGGCCCTCATCCCCCGCCTCGACCATGTCCCCCCTCCGAGGGGCAGCGATCATCGGCGATACATCGCCGATAAATCGGTGGCAAACTCCCGATCACGAATCCGCGCGGGGTGGGCCATAGGGTTCCCCTTGGCGATCAATGGGCGATGGGGAGTCGCTGCCCCCCCCCCGGAGCCTACCCCCTCCTAACCGAGTGCGGGCGATAGTAATACCAGGGGGAAAATAAAGTTCGGGGGTCTGGCAGGGATAATCAAGGATTTTCCCGGGGAAGGTGAAGTTATGATGATGATGACGACGATGATCATGATGATGGTGATCCTGGGCGCTCGGCACAAGACTGACTCGAGAGATCTCGATGATTATGCATTTGTTGGATGCTGTTGCTAGTCAACATGAGATGATAGCAACTTCGATTCGCAACTTCCTCCGTGGACTTTTTGTTCGGCCTCCGCGCCCCTCTCCACAAGTAAATCCTGTTGAACGGGGGTCATAAAATATAAGGGGTTTAGGGTAGGTATGTTTTGTTATCGCCCGCACGGGGTTAATATTGACCCTTCCCGCCCCCCCTGAGATCCGACGTTGCAAGCAAAAACACAAGTCACGGCTGGAGCCCCGGACTCCGTCTTTCTGCGCCCTTGCCCGACCCAGATCGATCCGAGAGGGCCCTGGAAGCCGAGCATGAAACGCTGCGAACACGCCCGTTGTGAGGAAATTGCGACGCCAGGGTATCATGGCCCTCCTCGACCCCGCCCTCCTCGCTCGCCGAACTCCGGGCGCCAACAGGGGCCCAGCCCCAGTGCTTGAGCTCGCCTCCCCGCAGCGCGCCTCGGCCGCGGGTGCTCTGAGCCGAGGGGGCTCGCCCCTCTGACCTCCGCCCTGCCGTCGCCGCTGACCCCCACGCGAAACCTCCCCAAGGCGGGCACCTAGAGTTCAGTCGGGCCTGTCCCTCTACCCTACAGGGGGATATTGCATGAAAAATAAAAGATACCCCAAAACATACCCCCAAATGGCCGAAAAGTGCTGGAAAAAATCGTTCCCAGGCTATTGTTTTTGACTGCTCCTCCTGTAGAGGGACAGGACCGACGTAACCCCACAGGCCCCGCGCCACCCCCCCCCTCCAGCGCACGAGGCGCCCACGAGGCCCCCACGACCGGCCACCATCCGGTCACCCGGCAGTGCCCCTGCACACCCGTGACGAGGAATGCATCCCAGAGCCCCGGAGTGCAAGCACTGCTTGGGGGACACCTCCAATCTCTGCTGCGCCGACGAGGGGTGCCAGGACGAGGGAGGGTGTGCATCGTGGCCCGAGGCACGTGCGCGGAGGAGTGGGAGCCAGCGGTTGTGGTGAAAGGGAAATCAAAAGGACACATCGTGGGACGAGAAGGAGGAGGAGGAGAGAGGAGGAGGAGGAGGAGGAGGAGGAGGAGGAGGAGGAGGAGGAGGAGGAGGAGGAGGAGGAGGAAGGAGGAGGAGGAGGGGGAGGAGGAGGAGGAGGAGGAGGAGGAGGAGGAGGAGGAGGAGGAGAAAGAGGAGGAGGAGGAGGAGGAGGAGGAGGAGGAGGATAATGAGGAGAACGAGGAGGGGGCCATGCAATCTGGGACAGATCATGGCGCCAGCCACGATATTCGCTCCCCCACCCCTGGTCCTCAACCCCCGGTGTGGGCGCGCCCAGAAAGAAAGTCGGCGCGATGCCGAGAACACCGGCCAACCGTGGCGACGAGAACCTCCCAGAGAGCCCAAGATGCCTCTGAAGCGAAGACGGTCGCCGTTCGTCAGGCCTCCGTCGGCGCAAATCTCTCCCCATCTTCCTCCCTCCCCCATTCGCACAGCCTTGTGACTTTTGATCGTGGCGTGGCCCCCTGTCGGCTGCACGTAATAGAGACCCTGGGCAAGAGTGACCTGTTGTGCGCGGCTTCTGGGGGGCCAGGCCCAAGCGCGCAGGCCGCTGCTATCGCACCGCATTCGCGGATCGGGGGGGCCCAGTCTCCTCCTCCTCCTCCTCCTCCTCCTCCTCCTCCTCCTCCTCTTCCTCCTCCTCCTCCCCCTCCTCCTCCCCCCCCCCCTCCCCCCCCTCCTCCTCCTCCTCCTCCTCCTCCTCCTCCTCCTCCTCCTCCTCCTCCAAAGGCCACTCTGACGAAGGGCCACTCTTGCGCGTGGCCGACCCTGGAGATCTCTCGAGTTGTTTCTGGGGACCGGCGTTACATCCCGAGCCGTCTCCTACACCCCCAGACGCCCTGCAAGCGGGGGACGCACTGCAAGAGGGTGGCAGCGGAGCTACAAGGTAGAGGAGGAGAAGGAGGAGGAGGAGGAGAAGGCGGAAGAGGAGGAAGAGGATGAAGAGAACGAGGAGGAGGAGGAGAAGGAGGAGGAGGAGCAGGAGGAGGAGAAAGGGGAGGGCGGAAGGGAGGGAGGCACAGTGAGCACGAGGAGGAGGAGGAGGAGGAGGAGGAGGAGGAGGAACGGCGAACGCACGAAAGACACAACGCCGGAAATGTGAGCGCACCTTGGGGGAGCTCGCCGGAGGCGTCCGCACTACGAGGGAGGATCAGGACGGACAACTGTTTTGAACTGTTTTGTTTAGCTCCGAGGCTGATTCGGAGCATGCCCCTGAGAGAGCCCGAAACCCTCTCGGCAACTGCACCGCATCCCCTGTTGAAAGCATGGACCCGGGCCGAGCCTCCCCGTCAGTGCACACCCCTCCCGAGGACGGGGCACAAGTCTCAGCCGTCCCCGCAGCACGCTGGTGGGGGGGAGGAGGAGGCGGAGGCGGAGGCGGAGGCTGAGGAGGAGGAGGAGGAGGAGGAGGGAGAATGATGATGAGGAGAGGAGGAGAATGAGGATGAGGAGGAGGAGGACGAGGAGGAGGAGGAGGAGGAGGAGGAGAGGAGGAGGAGGGAAGGAGGAGGAGGAGGAGGAGGAGGAGGAAGAGAAGGAAGGAGGAGGAGCAGGAGGAGGGAGAAAGGGGAGGGCGGAAGGGAGGGAGGCACAGGGAGCACGAGGAGGAGGAGGAGGAGGGAAGGAGGAGGAGGAGGAAGGAAGAGGAGGAGGAGGAGGAGAAGGAAGAGAGGAGGAGGAGGAGGAGGAGGAGGAGGAGGAGGAGGAGGGGAGGAGGAGGAGGAGGATGAGGAGGAGGGAGTGGAGGGGGGAGGAGGAGGAGGAGGAGGGGGAGGAGGAGGAGGAGGAGGAGGAGGAGGAGGAGGAGGAGGAGGAGGAGGAGGGGAGGAGGAGGAGGAGGAGGAGGAGGAGGGAGGAGGAGGGGGAGGAGAGGGGAGGAGGAGGAGGAGGAGGAGGAGGAGGAGGAGGAGGAGGTGGAGGAGGAGGAGGAAAGGAGGAGGAGACGAGGAGGAGGAGGAGGAGGAGGAGGAGGAGGAGGAGGAGGAGGAGGAGGGAGAGGCGAGGTTGGTGGGGAAGGGAGGAAGGACTCCAATCTTTCCTTCCTGGCGGAGCGCCATCCTCGGGGAGGTCGATCGGCCGCAGCAGGGTGCACTGCGGGTTGTCCTCTGGGCGTGGGGGTTTGGGGGGGGGGCGGGGGATGGCCCAAGTCGGAATGCCTGGACGCCTTGCCGTCCGCGCGAGGCGGGGGGCCCAACAGGCAGGAGATGCCAAAAGGTGACCTTAAGACGGCCCCGGAGAGCCTTCCCCCCTACCGTCGGACCCAGGCCAGAAGAACATCCATCAAGAACATGAGGCCGTCCGCCAGCCCAAACCGATAAACATTCGAGGGTGCCCTTCCCCAAGATGCACAACATCATCCAACAGCCACTGAGGAGCTCAGGGTACTTACTCCGAGCCGACCTCGCTCTTCTACTTCGGTCCGACCGTAGTCGTCCACACGTGGCGCCTCCAACGGCTGGGAGAGCATGCAGTCCCCTGGCGATGCCACACTTTCGCGAGAAGGAATCCACGACACGGGCGCTTCCAAGGATACGCGGTGACTCGCCGCAGGTGTCTTCGATAACCGCTCTGCACGCGCGCAAAGCCACACATCCCTCTTGAAATGCGCCCCCGGGTCCTGGATCTGCCCCTTCCCATGTTTTGCTTCCCTCCCTTCACCCGGCGAGCTCACACACGAGCCACCCAGCCCACCGTGGCCAACCATCAAACCGCCGAGCAGCCAGCCAGCCAACCACCTGGCCCTCCAGCCGTCCACTTGGACAGCCCGCCCACCAGCCGAGCTACCAGACTGCGAACCAATCGGCCCATCCACCAACCGACCCAGCGAGAGTAATCAACGCAGGCAGTCAGCAATGGAGGGAGGGGGGCGGCGGCAGACCACTCTCACCACCCTTCCTGGCGCGAGCGGCCTGTACGGAGCTCGTTCTGCTACCCCCCCCTCTGCCCTTCGGGGGGGGAGGGGGGCTCCGCCCTCCCCCATAACCCCCTTCACTGGGCCTGCAGGTGTGCGTTTCACGAGGGCCAAGATGGCCCAAAAGGCGTGCCGTCCAGTGATCCAGTATTTGTTTTGGTTGGGGAAGGAGGAGGTGGAGGAGGAGGAGGAGGAGGAGGAGGAGTAGGAGGACGAAAGACAAAAACGCATGGAGGCGGTCGTATCACGAAGCAGCGAAGGAGGAGGTAGAGGAGGAGGAAGAGGCTCGTCTTGGAGAACCCAAGACGGCCTCCAAGACCGCTGAGGATCTCCGACCATGGCTCAACATAGCTTCCGCTCCGAGAGGCCCCAAGGCAGCTCCAAGGCGGCTCCATGTGCCCTCGAGACTCCCACGGAGGCCCCCAAGAGGCCCAAATCCTTCACAACCCGTGTATTGTCAATGTGCTTGCCTTCTCGCCGTTTCGCTTCCAATGAACTCTGGTGGCCTCTAAGGCGGCCCCAAGATGGCTCAAGACGGCCACAAGAGGGGCCCTATAAAGACCCAAGAAGGCCCCAAGAGCGCCTAAGACCGCCCTAAGAACGGTCAAAGATGGCCCCAAGAGGCTCATTTTAGGGCCCCGACGGGGGAGGGCCACATTGGCGCCGCTCGTTTGTGTTGATCGGGCTGGTGGGGACACGCGAGGCGTCAGGATGAATAGTAGTCATGATAGCCAGAGTGGGCCCCAAACAGTAGTCTCTTGCAATATTCCTCCTCCTATATTTTTATAAGCCCGGGCGGGGGGGAAACCCGTCCCCCCCCAAAAAAAACCGGACTCCCGGGACGTGGGGCTTTGGGGCCCTCCAGACGGGCCTCGAAGCGGCCACCGGGCCTCGCAAGGCGTTTTGCCAAGCCTTCCCAGGACACTTAGGGCGATCAGGGGGGACATCAAGATGGCCCTCAGAGAGCCCCATGGCGGCCCAATATGGCCCAAAGACACCCTCCGAAGAATCCCACCAGCCCTTTAGGGCGTGAGTGGTTTAGAGAGCCCCCTCTGTCCTCAACCCCCCTTCTTCCCCTTCGGGGAGGGGTTTACCCCTCCCCCTACCCCCTCCCCCTGGGCCTGGAGAGGGCGTCCCGCGGGTGGTTGGAGGGGTCTTCTTCGACTCCTGGGATGGCCAAAAAACGACGACCCTCACGAAGATTCTGGCCCCGTCGGGGGGGGCCAGAAAAAACCCTCTCCTCTTCTGTGAAGCCAAAATCCTTGCTTTTACGCGGGTTTTGGCCCCATTTTGGCCTCCCGAGGGGGCCGCGCTCATCTTCCTTCATAGCAAAATCATTGATTTTACAAAAAGGTTTTGGGCTCATTTTGTCCTTCTCAGGGGGCAGCGCTTCTTTGCGCTTCTGAGGAGGTCGCAAGAGGCCCCAAGATGGCCCCAAGAGGCCCCCAGGAGCCTCCCAAGAGGCCTCCAAGAGGCCCCCAAGAGGCCCCCAAGAGGCCCCAAGAGGCCCCCAAGAGGCCCCCAAGAGGCCCCCAAGAGGCCCCCAGAGGCCCCAGGAGGCCCCCAAGAGGCCCCCAAGAGGCCCCCAAGAGGCCCCCAAGAGGCCCCAAGAGGCTCCAAGAGGCCCCCAAGAGGCCCCACGAGGAGCCCGAACGACTCACACCAGGACGAGGGGCCCGAACGACTCACACCACGAAGAGCCCGAACGACTCACACCACAAGGAGGGGCCCGAACGACTCACACCAGGACGAGGCGCCCGAACGACTCACACCACGAGGAGCCCGAACGACTCACACCACGACGCGGGCCCCGAACGACTCACACCACGAGGAGCCCGAACGAGTCACACCAGGAGGAGGGGCCCGAACGACTCACACCAGGACGAGGGGCCCGAACAACTCACACCACGAGAAGCCCGAACGACTCACACCAGGACGAAGAGCCCGAACGACTCACACCACGAAGAGCCCGAACGACTCACACCAGGAAGAAGGGCCCGAACGACTCACACCAGGACGAGAAACCCCAAACGACTCAAATCACGAGGAGCGCTTTCTCTCCCTCCTCCTCCGCCTCGTCCTTCTCCCGCTCCCCCCACAAGGAGGATGTACAAGGAGGCGGGAGGAAAGAGGAACAGGGGAGATATGCGGGGCCAAACGGACACACGCCTGAAAAACACGACTGTCGCCATGCTTCGCATGAGTTGCTGTTGTGAGATGGGCTGGTGGGGATACGCGAAGCGTAAAGAATTCCAAATCGTGATTCGGTCGTTCAGGGAGACGGCGGTTAGAGGCAGGGTGGCCCGAAGAAGCCCCCGGAGGCCCCCAGAATACGCCCAGGAGGCCTCCAGAAGGCCTGAAGAAAGCCCGAAACAACTTTTGTGAGGCCCCTAGAGGCTCTCCAAGGAGGAGCCTCCGCAAAAAAGAGCTGAGGAGGATGGGGAGAATGCGAAGGGTATGGCGAACATAAGGAACAATAAGCATGGAGAAAAGATAACGAATCACATCATTAGCGGCGATGCCGGAATAGGCAACCAGGAGTTATCGCTAAATTGTCGCCTTGAACTTCCTGCCATTCCGCCTGCATACCAAACTTCAAGGACCAAAACGCATGGCGCGAAGCGCCACTGCAGTCTTGTATGATATATAGATATGTGTATCACTCGCACCTTCTTGCAATATATATATATATATACATATATATATATACACACTTAGACATACATATATGGTGCAGTGTATGCGATGCAGCCTATGGAATGGAATATTATGCGCTGCAAGCTATGCGGTGCAACCTACGTGGCGCAAGCTACGCGGTGCAACCTATGACATGCAATATACGCGGTGCAAGCTACATGGTGCAAGTTGCGCGCGGCAACCTATGTAATGCAATATATGCGGTGCAATCTATGTGGTGCACTCTATGCGGTGCAATTTCACGCGGTGACCTGTGTAATGCAATATATGTGGTGCAGTCCATGTGGCGAAATTATGCAACGGCGACGGCGGCAACGGGAGGCGCCGCTCGCAAAAGCCGCCACTCGCCCCGATCGGCGCCGACGGCGACGGCGACGGCGGCGACGGGCGGCTCCGCCCGCCCGCAAAAGCCGCCACTCACCCCGAGATGACTAAGCCAAGTAAGAAGTCCTAAGTGCAAGCACTGCTTGGGGAAAGGTCAGAAGACGACTCGGCCTTGCGCTGTGCGTCGGTCCTGGTCGCCATCCCGACTTGCCATGCTTGACAGCACATATGCGACCTCCAACTGTCCAGGAAGTAATGGGCTAAGCTTGAGCGTGTAACGCACATAGAGCACTTCACTGTGAGGTGAGAAGGCAGACCAGTTCCTGCTGCAAAACAACCGCACTCCACGGCCTAAAGTAAGTCCTCTTCTCACCCTCGTTCAACTTTCCTCCTCCGCATCCTCGTGGTACTCCTCCTTCTCCCCCTCGTCCCCCTCCTCTGACTTCTACTATTAGGCCAGGCCTGTCCTCCTACAAGCGGATTTGGGGAGGAAGCAAAACAAATCAAACAAATCAAACGAACACGACCCGTTGTAGCCAAGCTATATTTGAACTTGTCTTGGATGTTAGTCCTGTTGAGGGGCGTGCCCGCCTTAATCCCACCAAGAAGATGTACTCTTCCGCTGGCCGCCCGCCAGGAGAGGAGCCGTCAGGCCCCAGGCTGGCCTCCCACTCGCTGTTCTTCAGATTGCCGCCCACGAACGAATCGTCGCAGGCCTCAAACTGGATGAAGTCCGCCGTCGTCGCTGGGCGGGCATCGGGGAGGGCGGGCAGAACATACAGTCAGCCCGAGTAGTAAGGATGCGCGACAAGGATGCAAGGGCCTTGGAAGGCCATGTCGACGATCTTCGAGCGGGGCGCGGCCAGCGAAAGCGGCCAAGGATGGGCCGAAAGAGAAGAATGCAAGGGTAGCCTTGCAAAGTCGCTCATCCTTCATCCGGGTTGACTGTAGCACGCAGCAGCCCGCAATTGCGGATACGAGTCATGGGGGCGGCGGTGTCGTCGGCAATCTGCGGGGCTCTGAAGAGCCCGCCGCAGGCGCCGATCTGTACCCAAAACCTAGGTAGGCGGGTCGCGGGCGGGTCGCGGGTGGGTCGCAGGGTGGGCCGCGAGTGATCCGGCCCAACAAGCAGAATCCAAGCCACGGAGTCCCCCTTGGCCGGAGCACCAGGGGATGTTCAAAAACCGTTCGGCCACCTCACTCTCATGTTCCACCGCTGGTGACGTCTGTCGCAAGACGGCTGCAACGTGTATACCCCCGAGGCGCCCTGGGCATATGGGACAGTCCCACTGCCCTGGGACAGGCGCCCTGGATGACGAAAAACAACTGTTATACTGCTCGTCACGGCTGAATGCCCCCAACGGTCCTCAACATCCTCATCGTGCTTTTCGTCAACGTACTCCATCAGATCCCCACGGCTAAGCATCATCCTCTTCCCCATCTCGTCGACCTCATCTTCGACCTCCCTCTTTGACTCATCCGCGGACTTCCGACGCGACCCCTGTCCTCGGGGTTGGCTTTTCACCCTGAGCCGTCTGTTGACGCCTCTGGCGCCCGCAGGCAGCTCTGGGGCACCGAACAGAAACACTTCCGACACAATGCTGCCCTGGTGGAGGAGGAGGAGGAGGAGGAGGAGGAGGAGGAGGAGGAGGGGGAGGAGAAGGAGGAGGAGGAGGAGGAGGAGGAGGAGGAGGAGGAGGAGGAGGGGGGAGGAGGAGGAGGAGGAGGAGGAGGAGGAGAGGAGGAGGAGGAGGAGGAGGAGGAGGAGGAGGAGGGGGATGAGGAGGAGGAGGAGCTCACACGGGGGGGAGCCCCCCCGAATGGCCCAGAAACTGACACCAAAAACACCAGACCCTGGACACCGGAGGGCCATTTTCCCCAAGCGTGGAGCACGGGTGCCCCCCGCCCCGTACAGTCAGACCTCGGCCATAATAATAGACCTCAAGAACATGAGACCCTCCGCCGGCCAAAACATACAGAACATCCAAGGGTACCCTCCCCAGGATGCACAAGAGCGTCCAACAAACACGAAGAACCTTAGGATACCCTCCCCGAACCGACCTCGATCTTATACCTCGGTCCGACTGTAGCTCATACCTCCGTGCGTGAGTCTCGTGGACGGGCTGGTCCTGGGCCAGCGCCAACCTGGATCAGGGGGATGAAGCGGGACGAAGAGGGACCAGGCCGGATGAAGCCGGATGTCGGACCAGGGCAAAGTCAGAATTTGACATCCCAGGAGTTGCCTCCGAAAGAACCACCTGACCAAGCACGATTAGCTATTGCGCAGCCCGCTTTTCCCCAACCGCGACGAACCCCTTGGCCCTGCGACCAGGAACAACCGAGCCTCCAATATCCGGTCTGCCCATATGTGTCGTTTTGTCCACTAAGAGGGGAGGACCTTTGCGCCAGAGCAGGCCTGCTGGTAATGAAATCTCATCCCACGGAAGCCCCGAAGAGAGCTCCGAGGTGGCCAAAGATAGCCACAAACGTGTTCCAATGGGCTTCACGCTGCCACTCTCCGCTGCTGGACATCCAGACAACTGGCTCGCCGACCAGTGCCCAAGACCGGGCGGAAAGGAACAACGCAGACCTGGTCCCAAGGTCGCTGCGATGCAGTTCACGGTGGTGTCCTCGTCGAACTTCACTGCCACTCCATAAGCATTACCTGCCCCCCGAGCGGCTCGAGCGCAACCGACCATTTGCTCAATCTGGATCCCTGATGCTGCGCCACACGGGTTATACACAGCCAAGTTATACCAACACGAGTGTCACAGAACATACCAGGACTTGCCCCGATTAGTGCTTGAAGTCTTGATCGGCTTCGCGTCGCAAAACATGTGCAATATGATGCTGCTTCTATCATACACAAGGCACGTCGGCTCCAATCTCTATGGGGGGGCATTCCAAGTGGGGACTCATACAAGCGTCCCCTAATACAAACATATTCTGAAACGTGCAAAAAGAAGCCGAGGCCAATCAGGACATGATTGCCGCGCAAAATCATCAAAATCATCACATCTTCCAAGCCACATTTTCAGTCACAGCAACATCTTCCAGTCTGGGCTGACTGCTTGCGGTTCGCGAGGGGGTGGCCTTCTAGAGAAGCGGGGAGCTAAGAAGAAGACAGGGGGCTTCTAGGAAGGCCTTCCAGCTACTAATATAAAGGCCTCCTAGATGGGTCGGAGTAGATGGGGTCAGAGGATCGAGCCGCATCGCCGATACATCGGCGATGCATCGGCGATGCACCGGCGATGCACCGGCGATGCATCGTCGACGTCGGCGATGCATCGGCGCCGTCGACGTGAAGCAAATCGGGCTCCACATCGAGCCGCCGCGGCGATACACCGGCGATGCGGCGCGATCTTCCTACCCCATCTGCTCCGACCCCATCTAGGAGGCCTAGACAACAATAGGGGAACGAAGAATGGCATAAGCATGAAAACTCAGAGGTTCGCGCGAGTGTCTCGGATCGGCGCTGGACACCCCGCCCCTGGCGCGCGGAGCGCGCTAGTGGCGGCGACGGAGGCGCCACCAGGGGGGTCCAGCGCGGATCCGAGACATCCGCGCGGACCTCCGAGTTTATATGTTTTGTGTCGTTCCTCGCTCACCTAAACAAGCGTCGATGTTTATGTTATGATGTTGTGCTCGTTTTTGTTAGTGTATATGTTTATGTCGTTCTTCGTTCGTTCTTCGCTCCCCTAAACAAGCGTCTACGTTTTTTTTTTTTTTTTTTTGTTCTGGGGTGTTTGGTTTCGTTCGTTTTTCTGCTTATGTCGTTCTTCGTTCCCCAAAACAGGCCTTCTGGGACACCGATGGGCCTTTTTTCAGGTCGGGTCTGTCCCCCTGCAGGGGGATTCTGGACGAAAGCTAACAAGCAGCCACAACACAGTCTCTGCCATGCTCCAAAGATGGTCAACGCATCGCCCCCAGACTATATTTTGACTCTCTCTTCGACTCCTCCCCCCCGCGGAGGGGCAGGCCCGACGCAAGCCCTGCCACAAAACACTCTCACCAAAAATGGTCCAAGCATCGCCCCGAGATTACCTCTTTTCGACTCTCTTCGACTCTCCCCCCCGGCAGGAGGGACGCGCCCGACGTGAGCCTCTCCGCCGGGGCCCCCCCGCGGCTCTCCGCGGCCGCCCGCCCCGCGGCAGGCCGCGGGCCAACCCCGCCCCCCCCCCCCGAGGGGACGGCGCGCGGCCCCGGGGCCGGCGGGGGGAGGAGGGGGCCGCGCTGCACCGCCGCGGCGGCGCGGGCGGGGCTGGCGAGGAGCGGGGGGGAGCGAGGAGCGAGGAGGGAGGAGGGAGGAGGAAGGGATAGGGGGGAGGAGGGTAGGCGGGAGGAGGGGGGAGGAGGGATAGGCGCGGGCGGGGCTGCCGTGGAGGGAGGGAGGGGGGAGGGGAGGGGAATAGGAGGGGAGGAACAGGAGGAGGAGGGAGGGAGGGGGGAGGAGGGAGGGGGGGAGGGGGTGCCGGCTGGCAGAGGCTTCCAGGTGGGTCGCGGCCAGGTGGGGGCGGAGGACGCGCCGCGTCGCCGATGCATCGGCGACACCTCGCCGATGCATCGGCGTTCCCATGCCAGCGTGGAGGTAGGTAACTACATCCACAGGCATCGCGATGGCACAGCGATGCGGCACGGATCCTCCGACCCCATCTGCTCGGACCCCATTGGAGAGGAGGAAGGAGGAGAGGAGGAGGAGGAGGGAGGAGGAGGAGGAGTGAGGGGGAGGAGGAGGAGGGGGGGAGGGAGGAGGAGGAGGAGGAGAGGAGGCGGAGGAGGAGGAGGGGGAGGAGGAGGAGGAGGAGGGGGAGGAGGAGGAGGAGAGGAGGGGGGGAGGAGGAGGAGGAGGAGGAGGAGGAGGGAGGAGGAGGAGGAGGAGGAGGAGGAGGAGGAGGAGGAGGAGGAGGAGGAGGGAGGAGGAGGAGAGGAGGAGGAGGAGACCTGGCAGGAGCACATGCACTCCTGCGCCACCGAGAAGGCCTCCACCCTGGGGGCTGGCGCCCCGCACGCGGCGCTGCTCCGCCCCCATCCGGGAGGCCTGGAGCCGAGGCGTCGGCCAGCAGGCGCGTGCAACCTCGAGCGTGGAGCCTCGATGTCTCGGGTCGGGCGAAAGGGGGGGATAGCAAAGGGGGGGTTTGAGAATCAGCTCACGTAGCTGATTTTCCCGGCGCCTCCCGGCGGGAGGGCCCATGTATCGAGGAATGGGCCCCTCGGTTGCCGAAACCAGCTGCATGCAGCAAATTCGTAACCCCCCTTTCCCAATCCCCCCCTTTCGCCCGACCCGAGCGTGGAGCCTCGACGTCGCCAGGAGGAAGCGTCATCTGACACTGCTATTGGGTCGCGCCTGTCCCCTCTGCAGGGGGAATTTTTTGGAGGAAGAATCTTCCATTGTGAACAAAAACTCGCAAGATGCTGAGACGTACTCAAAAAATACTTTCCATACCATTGTCCTACTATTTTTGAGCACTCCCCCTGTAGAGGGACGCGCCCAACGGAACACTGCCATGGGCAGTCCGCTGCGACGGGCACGGCGCTCCGGCCATCCGCCTCCAGGAGCTCAAGGAAGGCTGCACGAAACCGTCAAACGGCTCGGACCATCCCGGGGAACGTTCCGGGGTGCCCTGGGCCCTGGAAGCAGCAGAAACTACACCGGGAACGGCCGTTGGCAATACCACCCAAACATCAATCTTTCCATAAATAAAGCCAACGAATTCAGCAACACCGCGAAAACTCGTAATCGGACAATATGTTTTCCAGCCATCCTGTGGTGTTAGGTCCTCGTTTCGAGGAGGCAGCGTCCCACTCGACGATTTCAGAACCCTACCCCTCGCCATCCATCGAGTTGCCTGAATCGTTGATCTGCGAGCGCGGGGGGGAAGAGAGATTGGCGGGCCTTCTCAAAAGGCTCGGAAGTCCCCTGGCCTTCTGAGGAGCTTTCTGAGCCTGCCCCGAGGAAGCAGAGAACTCCTCAGAGGGCGCGTGGGCTTCTGAGAAACCTGGCCGCCTTCTGCGGAGGCCCTCTCCTCCGCAATATCCCCCCCTCTGGCCACCGCTCGGACGTCCATTCCCTGTGCTTTGTTCGGTCTCGTGCGTGGCCTTTTCGCCAAAATTGAAGGGGCCCCAGGACACACAAATAAATACACACAAATAAAAAGGTCCCACACATTTTCCCATATTTTGGGTTTTTTTTGTCTCCCCCCCCACTTCCCATATTTTTGCATATTTTCCTGGGAGATCGAGGATTACTTGTGTCTGTGTGTTTCTTTCCCTCCTGAAAAATGATCGAGGATGCTCCTCGATGGCCCTCGCCGAAGGAAACACGCACACGCTCGAGCGATGCCAAGCCCCCGCGCCCCCCCCCCCCCCCTCCGTTTGGGCGCAGACGCGCCGCCACGCGGCGCAAAATCCGCGGAGCGTGCTCCGCGGTGCACGGTCCCTCCCCCGCCCCCATGTCGTCTGCCCTCGCCCCCTCCCCCTCCGCCTCTTCCACCTCCTCCTCCTCCTCCCTTTCTCCTCCTCTCTCCTCCTCCTCCTCTCCTCCCTCCTCCTCCTCCTCCTCCTCCTCCCCCTCCTCCTCCGCCTCCTTTTCCTCCTCCTCCTCCTCCTTTCTACGTCCTCCTCCTCGTCCTCATCCTCATACTCCTCACGCTCCTGCTGCGCCACCCCTCTGCACCATCCCCCCCCCCGCCCCATCTCCTCTGCCCTCAGCCACTGCCTCTCTTCCCCTCCCCTGCACGGCCCCCGCCGTTGGCCCCCGGGCACGACGCGGACTCGAAGGAGGTCAGCATGCTCTGGCAGGCTGTGGTCGAGAGGCCGGGAGAATCTGCCCGCGGTCCATCAGGCACAGGGCAGAAGTGGCACGGACAAATGACCATCTAGCGTAATGAAATACGAAGCCAGACAGAACTTGTGCCGGCAGCAGGCGGACGAAGTGGTGAGGAGCCACTGTGAACTGAACTACCGAACAGTTTGCCAAGGCGGAAGACATGCTCCGTGGCCCCCATCGAACCGATACGTTTGGAAGTTTGCAGCAAACCTTTGGATATTACACATTCGGCGCATGTTGCAAAAGGTGGACTCGGGGATAGGTGTAGAGAAAGCAGTCTCAGGTCGGACGCGTGAAGAAATCATATACGAAGGCGTGTGCAGTGAGAACGATAGCCATCACCGTTTACCACCCCTCTTCTTGTGCTGCTTCACATCCTTCTCCTCCTCGTCCTCCTTCTCTAGCCTCGCACATCATCGCGATCCTCCCCCGACTTGTCCTCGTCCCTTACTCTCTCTCTCTCTCTCTTTCTCTCTCTCTCTCTCTCTCTCTCTCTCGATGACATACATAAGCAAATGTATATGCTGTCTGTTTTGTGTGCCCTCTCTCTATATTCCTCTAAACAATACATATACACGTCTCTATTTCTTTGACGGTTGTTCACTATCATGTTGAATTGTGGTTTCTCTCTCTATCTCTCTCTCTGCCGCCCACCCGGTCTATATCTGACTCTCTGCTTCTCTCTTTCTCTCTCTCTCTCTCTTTCTCTCTCTCTCTCTCTCTTTTGCTCTCTCCTTCTATCTCTCTCTCTCTTCCCTTTCTCTCCCTGCCCACTTCCCGCTACTACCACGCGATGCTTGGTAGACGCATCGCATCATACGCACCTTTCCGAGGCAGTACAGCTCAAAGATGGTTTCCTGCTGGCGTTAGAAATGCAATGGCCGTTTGTGGTGGGACATGCCCCTAATACTGAACACCGGACGCGCCCCTGACGCATATTGCGCCCCAGCCACACTGGAAATTGAGCGTGCCCAAACGTCGTAATCACACAGCTGGTCAGAGTATTGTGCAATGGGCGTTTCGCACGAACATCCAGAACCAAATCCGAAGTGTCCGATGAATTGCTGGTTTCAAACTTGCTCCTTCGAAACCAAAGTGCCCAATATGGCCCATGAGTGCGCAGAGAGGGCTCGAGGATAAATCACAAAATGTTTCAAGGGGAGTTCGCACTAATCCACAGGAGCACAGATCTCAAACAGGACAAAGTGGTCATGGTCAGAACACCTTCGTAGACCGTGGTTTCTTCCAGGATCTGCTCTGGTTTACATCCTGCAACCCTTCTTGCATGAGACTGGGAACTTACGTGTAACCTGTACCTGCCAGGGCGCTTTCTTGGTGCGCCCGAAAGTACCTGCCAGGACGTTTTCCTGGGCATCCCGAAGCTCACGTATGTGTTCGCTCGGATGTGTGTATATGGGCGTACGTGCAAACTTTGCGGCTGGCACACGTCTGTGTACGAACAAATGTGTATGCATATCTATATGCGTGCATGCTCATATGATGAGATCGGGATCGGATTTTCTCGAGCCGCAGATGAGCTTCAAAAGAGAACGACTCCATCCAACACCCTGTCAGCCTTGGCGCTGCAGGAGGGGCCGCGCGCTCACTCGCACCTGCTCAGCCCTCGTAGGGTCCCTCGACCACCTCCAATCACCAAGAAATTCTCTCGGGCTCCTTGCCAAGGCCACAAGTTCAGCCGTGACAGAGCCCAGGCAGCGGCACGAACCGTGGGTTCGCATACTTCCACTTGTAAATGCACGGCGCCTGGCTCTGCCTGTCCACGAGCTGCCTGCGCCCGGTGGTGATGTCCAAGCGGCCGCTCCACATTCCTCGCTATCCTGTCGTTGCCCTTGCCCCTGCGCAAGGCCGTCGGCCCCGCCGGGCTCCACTAGGTACACTGCACGTCGCACAACACGCCCAGCGCGGAAATGATTATCAGGATGGCCACCACGGGGTAGATCAGGTACTCGTCGACCCAGTCTTGCGCCACCAGGTCGGTGGTTGGCACCCTCGCACGATACACGTCCCCTGCACGATACAAGTCCCCTCCATTGCTGCACATAGTCGGCCCCTGGGTCAGCAACGTCGCCAGTAAACCTCGTTTCGCCCAGCTTGCACTTGTCGTCGCCGTGCAGGTCTCCAACTCCTAGTGCGTGTCCATTCCTACGAATCCACGATGCCTGCAAACTCGCGCAGGAAGCAAAACCGCACCACGGGGCACGCCTTCGAGCCAAGGTCGGCCACGTGCGTGCCGCTACTCTCTTTCTTCACTATCGGACCGTTGGCCTTCCGCTCCTGCTGGGTCCACATCGTTCGCACATCAAGGTGGTGCAACTTTCCAACTACCTCTCGGTTGATCATGATCTCCGCTGCGCTGCTGTCGATCGCCAGCCCCCAGCTCACCTTGTAGCCCAAACGATCCAGAACGTTCCCGGTCAGCTCCCCCCGTCCATGATCACAAAATTCGCGCCGTAAGCCTTCACCTTTCCTGACATGGTCTGCGCCCCCTGGCGCTTCGCGTACGCCGGGAACTGCGCCACGTCCAGCTGCGCGATCCCGCGCGTCAGGGCCCTCTGGGTGGTCTTGCACGTCGCGAAGCCCGTGCCAGCGTTAATCGTCAGCTTCGCCTCTCCGGGCTTGCTCTGCGGCGGCTTCTTCAAAGGCGCGCCGTAGGTCTTGGCCCCCTTCAGCTCGGGCTCCCCCCTCCTGCCGCCCCCCTGTCTCGCCACGTCTACTCTGCAGGCGCGCTGCTCGCTGCCTCTCTGGCCCGCAGCGCCGTGCACGGCGCCAGGGCGGGCCTCTGGGCGCGCGGGAACCGCGGTGCCCGCGGCAGGGCCCGCGGCGTGGGCGAGCTGCGGCCGCGGGGGGGCCGCGCGGCAGGCGCGCGTGCCGCACGCGGGGTCTGCCAGAAGTCTTCGAGTTTGACATGCTGCCCGTGCGTCGAATCACGAGTCTGTCTTTACCAGCCTGGAACATATCCGATCTTAGGGATTTCCTCAGTTTCTGAGGGTGCATCCCTCAGATTGTCATCTCCTTTTAGCGTGACAATCTTAGGGATAGGGATCAATTCGAGGCTGGTGATGTCTGTCAAGTCTGCCTGCGGCGGCAACGCGGCGTCTGCGTCAGCAGCAGACCTGCTGGGGGGCGCGTGCCCGGGGTGGCGAGAGCGCCTGCCCGCGCGGTGCTAGCCGGCGCTGCTGCTGGGCTTCTTGCTGAGCGCTGGGGGGCAACGCGCCTGCTTTTGCACGCCTCTGGTCGCAGCGCATCGAGCAGCTCCCCAAGGTCCCGGAATAGGCGCTGCTGGTCCGGGCGCCTGCGGCTGCGCAATGCGTCCGAATTCGCAAGTAACAAAATCGTCACATCACGGAGGAGTCGGCTGCGGCATTGGCGGCACGTTCATCCAGCGGATGCCATCGTCGCACTACTGCGCCTTGCCGCATGGCTTGCGAGACGTGTTGCGCAGCAGGATTAAGCGAGCCGTCCAGGTGGAGCCAACATGTAACATGCGTAAGTGCGACGCCCCGCTCGTTACTAGCATCGTCGCGATGCATCATCATCATCATTGTCACATTCGTCACCGTGCGTTGTCACCAGCGCCGTCGTCACGCATCGTCGCAAACCCGGGAGCGCACCAACAGCATCGTCAGCATGACAATCATTGAAGCTGTCATCAGTACGCCCCCCATCCCAAAAACTTTGTATCACCCGAAGGGTGGTAGTATAAATATATCTCGACATCTATGTACATATATATATATATACGGAGAGAAAGGGAGAGAGAGAGAGAGAGAGAGAAAAAAAAGAGAGAGAGAGAGAGAGAGAAAGCAAGAGAGAGGGAAAGCGAGACAACCAAACAAAAGACACACACACATATATACTCAAAGACAGGAAGCGGGAGACGCAGGAATGGGGAGCAAGGCATTGGCATAAATGAAATGGACGGGGCGGATTTGGGCGTAACATTCGATAGGAACCGCTGGGAGTCACCGCACAATGTCCACTGCCCGCGTTCCCAGCAGCGTTGCGCCTGGATCCACGCACGTGTAGTTGGTGAGTTCCTGCTAACGTGATGTGGCGAGATGGGAGAAATCTGTTTACAGACGCTGATGGAAGGACGTAGGTGAAGTAGGAGGGAAAAGAGATAGATATGGGAATGCGGGATGGGGTCGCAGTGGCCACCAATTCGTGCCATCGGCCAAAGGCTGGGTGAGTAGACTCCCCGAACTGTGGGATGCGGAATGCATCCGCCGCATTCCCTTCCTCCTTGGTATGCCAGACAAGGTCGTGATGTGTATATATACATCTGTCAGAGACATCGAACTCAGCAAGAGAACGAGGAACAGGGGGAGGAGCAGGAGGCCTAGGAGGGCGGCCCTAGGGGTAGGCCTAGGGCAAGCCTACCCTCCAGGCTCTATATGCAGGCATATCGGCAACAGCTCGGACGACCACCGGGCATTTGTGCACTATTTTAAAAGCGATTGAAGACTGGCCCCGCCTCGGCATCAACATCGATCTCGCAGATTTCGTCGGCATCGGACTTCTTATCACTGGCGGTCCTGAAAAAAGCAGACCCGCGCGATACAGCGCAGAATACATCCCGCGATGCATCGCAGAATGCGATTCGAGCGCCTCCCACAGAGAGGATCCCGAGGGCAACGAGCCCCAACGCGAGTCTGATGCTGCTGGCAACGCACGCATGACGGTAGCTTGTAGTAGCGACGGCCGCATGCGGGACCTGGCATGCCACCAGCGAAATCAGACGGCATCTATAGCGCGAGCACTGGTATGATAACTGCGTCGTTGACGCAATCGCGATATCAGCCAACCGAGTCTTTGTCGGCGGCACGCCCGGGGGGGGGAAGCGAGGAGGGGCGGGGCGCCTCAGAGGGCGGTGGGGCTCACCAGAAACCCTGCGGCATCCCGAGAGGCCGTCTGTGCCTCCTGAGAAGGCCTAGCAAGCTTCTCGGGAGCCTTCTGAGAAGGCCCGCCTCCTTTCCCTTCCCCCCTGGGCGCGCCGCCGATGGTACACAACACCGTCTGTGAGAGAAGAACTGCAAACGCAACCATCCGTTTCCTCTCAACCCGTAATCGCTCACAGTGGAGGTCTGCAAAGGCCTCCCGAAGCTCCAGACGCCACCGCAGGCCATAACAAGGCCAAACGTATCCCAAAACTGCCCTCCTCGATCTTCAAGGACAACGCTTAACAGGATGAGGAGGATGCGGAGGAACCCCCTTCTTGGCATCCATCCCAAGACCTCTGCAGGGGTGTTGCAAGCCAAAACACCAAGGCGGATCCAGCAGTGGCGAAATGGACGGCACTGGATGTCCGAGGGCAGGCAGAACAGCGGTAAACAAACATATGTGTGCCAACTGCCAGCCAGCGCGCATAGCGGCGACGAAGCGGCGACGGATGGCCACCGTCCGACAACCCAGAAAGCCAGCCAACGCACACGGCGGCAACGCAGCGGAGATGGACGGCCACCGTCCGAAAGCAAAAGAAACGCCAACAAACGTAGAAGGTGCCGACGAAGTGGCAACGGGCATGTACTAAGCAACGCAATTGGTAACCCTCAGCAACAATCTGGGGTCGTCCCCCTCCTTCTCCTCATTATCGCCCTCCCTCATCCTCATCCTGCCTTTCCGCATTCATGGAAGTGTCCTGCGTGCAATGGGTGTCCGAGTAAAACTTCAGGTCGGACAGCTCAAAGCAAGATGTGGAATTGTAGATCGACCACACCTCGGGACATCGATGCGATCGATGATGGGGATCGAGAGGAGATCGAGACTGAGGAAGTCAGACATTTTCTGATACTCTTGATGCTTCAGGGCCTGTGGAGGCATCTGGAGAAACCAGACCTCTGGCAGCGTTTCGCAGCACAATGCTCGCTGGGCAGAGCCACCCCTAAAACTGCTCGGGTCTGCTCCCAATCGCCAGTCGTCAGTTCTCTTCATCAGAACAGGTACACACCATCATCCTGGGCAAGGCCACTCTTGGCGCTAAGTTGGTGTACGCGTGGGCTCGACGAGAAAGCGCACGTACACACCATCCTGGGGCCCAGGGTGGCCCGGGCCAAAAGCGGTGGAGGTATAACCACCCTCTGCGGATGTCCCACTGCATCGTGTAGACTGACCAAACTGCAGTTCTCGCACGGAGAGCGTGTTCCACATAGCGCCTTCGGACGTCCTCATCCCCCCACCCTCACCATCCGTGTTTTCTTGTTGCTGTTTGGCGCCCCCCGCGAAATCATCGGAACCGCTCTCGGCAAAAACGACTTCGGACGGTAATCGGTGTCGTGCGTGTGCTCGTTCACCCTGGTCAACCAAAGGAGCGACGAATTCTGGGAAACACGGGATGGTCTTGACTGACCCCCCCTTCACGAGTTGTACCCCACGTGTGGCGAACAACCGTTTTCTGTGGCAATCGGCGGACACAACCACAGGGCGTTCGTATGGTGTTTCCCTTTCACGTGAATCCCGCGTTGTCGCCATGACATTGTTTAGGCGCGGCCTCGAATAAACACCTCATCGTCAATGCACTTGCGCTAGAACATGCAAAACTCAACCGGCCGCCGCAGCAAAGTATAAAGGCATGACCAGGAGAAAGCATTTTCCAAGGACGTATACGATCCCAATATGCGCCAATATCCATGGGCCCGTCAAGAATGAATGGGAACCGGGGGAAACCACAGCATGCCCTGTGCGAGATCTCATGTGGAAGGCATTCCGATGCACGCCCCGCGGGGGCAGCATGTAGCGACGCAAACAATTTTATTGAGGAGACAAATTCAAGGACGACAGCGAAACGGAGTAACCGGCGATATGTACCTAAGGACCTCTGGGGGCATGGTGGCGGGGGCACGGACGGATATCATCACAACGATATTGCAGTGTCAAAACGATGAAGGTGGCGTGATGTCGGCGACGATGGAACCTGCTTTGCCACACACACACACACACACACCACGAATCAGACATCCTGGGTTGAGGCTTGTAGCCCAAACGGTGGCCTCAGCCAGCGCCGCCCAAGTCGGACACGGAGAAAGCACAGCCGCGCGTGCGCGAGCCCTTGCGTGGGCGTGGGGCGCGCAAGGACAGGCGCGTTGGCACGAGTGCAAGCGGCTCTCTGGCTCAATCGTGCAGGTCTTATCTGACCGAGCTAGCCCGTCAACTTCTCGGACTCGTTCGTGCACGTTTCCGTGCTGGCGTTGAACGTCTGCCGGCGCGCCGCCTGGTCAGCAGGCGGCCCGTGGGAGAGAAAATCCTGCCCCGTGGCGCGAATCACAGGCAAATTGTTCGACGTCGTGGCTCCGGAACGCATGACGTGCAGGTGGAAGAAGATTCCGGCCATGCCGCCGGCGACCTTGTAAACGATTTGGCGACGACCTTGCAGCGACAACAATTGCGAGATTGTCATTCTTCACGAGGCGAGGTACCGTCTGTACTTGCGAAGCTCCTCACTACGCTGGACCTCCAAGGAGCTCACGAAGACGCGAACAGTTGCGCAGCTCCCAGGGAGGCGGTGCCTCATCTGGGCCTTCGTAGCTCCGCGCTCCACTCCTGCGGGCTCGTGCAAGTGCCAACTACTGCGCACATGGCACCAACCAGCGAGGCGAGGTTTCATTTTGGTCTGCGTAGGCCCGCACTCAGCTGGACCGCCTTGGAGGCCCATGAAATGGCGACGGTTGCGTAGCTTGCAGCACCCAGTGAGGCGAGGCTTCATCTGTGTCTGCATAGCACAACTCTTCGCTGGACATCCCAGGAGCTCACAACCGCGCCGTCGGTTGCGCAGGTGGCAGCACCCAGTGGGCAGAGTTCACATTTGGGTCTGCGTGTGGTGCGATTCTCCTGGACCCCCAGGACGCAGCATCGCATTCCGCTGGACATCCCAGGAACTGAAGGAAGAGCTAAGAGATGCGCATTTGGTAGCCCCAGCGAGACGAGGTCTCAACAGCCCGCGCTCCCCCGGACCGCCCAGGGGCTCACGAGAGTACCGACCGTTGCGCAAATGGCAAGCCCAGCGAAGCGAGGTTTCATTTAGGCCTGCGTGGGACTGCACTCCGCCGAACCTTCCGGGTGCTCACGAAAGAGGCGACCGTTGCGCAGGTGGCAGCGCCCAGGCAAGCGAGGTCCTGCCTGGGTCTGCGCAACCACGCCCGGCTGGACCTCCCGGGAACTTACGAACACGCCGACGACTGCGCAGCTGGCAGCACCTGAGGATGCGACGCCTCATCTGCGCATTCGTAGCCCCGCGCTCCGCTGGGCCTCCCAGAGGCTCACGAACGTGCCGAAAGTTGTGCAGGTGATGGCCCAAGCGAGGCGAGGTCAAATTTCGGACGCCCACCACTTGTTTCTTCTGCGTGCGACGCGCTGAGCTGAGTGGCCGACTAGCCGCACCAGTGAGCATGCCGTTGTATTCTCAGCCTCCGAGTGCGCAAAGCATGGCGGCACAACCAACATTAGGCCGTTTGAGTATCGGCACCCGAGAAGGTGAACTACGACGCAACAACTAACAAGCCGATTGAATATCGAAAGCCGAGTGCGCAATGGCGCAACCAACATCACATCTATGCAGGCCGTCTTATTCTCGGCCACCGAGAGCGCAACCTACGGCATGATCCATAGCAGGCTCTTGTGCTCTCTATCGCCGGGTACGCAACCTATGGCGTACCAAATAGCATGCGACTTCACCCTCGGCCAGCACATGCGCAACCCATGACGTATCGAATCGCAACATGCTGTACAACCGGCCGCCAAGTGTGCACCCATATGCCGTGACGGACAGCCAGCTGACACAACGACTGCCAAGCCTACATCTGCTCGGCCGCCGAGCGAATAAACCCACGGTGCCACTGATAACACGCCGAGTGATCCTCGGTTGCCGAGTGCGCAACCTGTGGTACCACTGGAAGGCCTGCGTAGATTCGGCAGCAGAGTGCAACGCCCAAGGCGCCACCTATGGTGCACCCAGAGGATCGCGCAACCTGCGGCACAACCAGGCGCAACCCGTGGCGCAACCCATGGTGCAACCCACGGTTGGCGCGACCAGTTGCGCAACAGCGCAAGTCTGTGATAGCACAATCCAGGGGGCACTTGCTTGGAACGACAAGTGGCTCGTACAAACCATGGGTGTAGCTTTGCGCAACCCATGGATGGCGCAACATATGGCGCAATCGGTGCCTAGGGCAAATCATGGATCGCATAACCTATGTCGCAACCCATGGATCGCGCAACCCATGGCGCGAAACGTGGGTGGCACGTGCCCCTCACAATTTCGCGCTGGGGCTGCTGAGTAACGCGGGCGAGCATAAAAAAGGGGCCACGACTGAGTTATCTGTTGTCAGGCGGGCTGGCGTTGGGGCCCAAGCCAAGAGCTGTGTGATGACTTGGGTTTGCGTAAGTCCGCACTGCGCTGGACCATCCAGGAGTTTACAGGGGTGACAGTTGCATTGTTAGTAGTACCCAGAGGAGGGCGGGCCAGCGAAGAGGAAGCGAAGAGCACGCAGGGAGGAAGCAGGGTGGGAGTGAGGGGGAAAGCAGGCAGTGAGGAGACAACCACATCTGTATGTACATACATTAAGTTGTGTATGAATGTATGTATGCATGCATGCATGGATGTATGTATGCATGCACGTATGTATGTATATTTGTATACACACATGTATGTGTGTATGTATGCATGCATGTATGTATGTACGTATGTGTGTATGTGTGTATATATGTATGTTTGTATGTATGTATGTATATGTGTATGTATGTATGTATGTATGTATGCATGTATGTGTGTATGTGTGTATGTGTGAATGTATATGGGCATGTGTGTATGCATGTATGTATGCATGTATGTATGTGTGTATGTATGTATGTATACATATATGTGTACATGTACGTATATATGTATGCATGTAGGTATGTATGTATGTATGTATGTATGTATGTATATATGACTGAATGAATGAATGAACGTATGCATGTATGCATGTATGTATGTGTGTATGCATGCATGCATGCATGCATGTGTGTATGTATGTATGTGGGCATGTGGACATGTTTATATGTATGCATGTACGTATACATGTTTGTATATGACGCGAAATCTGTATACAATATAAGTATAGCTGTCAACCAGCGTGGACCAAATACAGTGTGTTTCTGGCAATCTATGTTGCGCAATACATGTGGCACAATCTATGCGGTGCGATTCGCCACCCCAACGGGCGAGAGGTGTGCACAAATCTCCATAGTTCGACCACGCGTGGCCGCCCCTGGGGTCCCCATACAAAAAGTACCAAGGCAAAGTGGGTTCAAGGAAGCACGAACTCACCCGGGCGTTCTTCAGGACCCCAAACAGCGCTCCAGGAGCGCGCGAAGGGAACCCAATAGAGCTCAAATGTAGCACTCCAGTCGAGATCAATGGGAAGCAGGCCCTAACCACGAGAGGCCTTCAGAGGCCTCCAGGAGGCCCCAAACGAGCCCCAAGAGGCCCGAAGAGACCCCCAGGAGGGTCCCCAAAAGCCCATCCTGCCTACCCCACCGTTCCCCTTGGGCACGAGAACACCACCACGCAGCAACAGTAATGCGAAATGGGCTGGAGGAATTAGCGAATCGATTAAGTCTACGTGGGGCAATATACATGTTGTGCGATCTATGTTGCGATCGATCCTGATGATGGCTGCAAAACGATGAGAGCTAGCCGCGGACTAGCGGTATCCACATGGCGCCTGCGGGGGCGTGCCATCTTGAGCCATAACGGCTACGGAAGGAGGACGAGGATGAGGAGGAGGAGGAGGAGGAGGAGGAGGAGGAGGAGGAGAGGGAGGAGGAGGAGGAGGAGGAGGAGGAGGAGGAGGAGGAGGAGGAGGAGAGAGGAGGAGGAGGAGGAGGGGGGGGATTAGGAGGTTGAGCGCAGCCTGGAGGCGCGGAGGAGGACGGGGGGGGGTAGGAATGGCACCGCTTCCCACTGCCCCTGTCCCCGTTCCCGCCTTGTTCGCCGGGGGTGACAGCGCGTGAGCCAGCGGCACGGACCGCAATCGGATGATGCCGACCAAGACGGCGACCACCAACACTACCGTGAGTATCCTCGTGCACATGCGGGCGTTGAAGGCTCTCCTCGGCGGAAAATCCATGTTCTCCCACATCAGATCCAGAGGCTCCCGGGCCTGCGCGGCAGGCAGGACGGCGGGCAGGCCGGCAACCAGGACGGGGGGAGGATGAACGGACGGGCTGGACGTGCAGGGAGGAAGGAGGGGCAGGGGGCTGGAAGGCTGGAACGGGGAAGGTGGGGAGGAAGTGGTGGGGAACGGGACGGGGATGTGGGCAGACAAAGGGGGCAGGCAGGGAGGATGGAGGGAGTGACAGGGAAGCGGGGAGGGGGAGGGGAAAGGGGGGAAGAATCAGAATCGGGGAGACGGCAGCAGAAGAGGGGAAGGGGAGGGAAGGGGGTTGAGCTGGCGCGAAGGGGCAGGGACGGAGGATGGGAGAGAGGGGTGAGGATGGCCGAAATATGGATCGGAAGGAGGATGGGGGGGAGGCGGACGACGGTACTTCCTGGTGTCTGAAAAGGCGAGGAGGGATCCACAGAGGAACTGGGGAGAGGAGGAATGAGCCTCCTAACCCTGCCCCTCCCCAGTCTCCTCTTCTCCCTTTTCTTTGTCATGATCCTTTCCCTCGAAAATTTTTGGGACTGCAAGAACATCGAGGAGGATGAACAGAAAGATGGACAAGGGGGTGTCGCGAACGAATCAACTTTCTGCAGCTGCGATTGCAATCGCATCCCGGCGCTAGAGGATGCCACGTATAAAGCGAAACGCCTGGCGGTGGATGCGAATCCTGCTGCACCCAACAGATGCCGTACCCCCTGTCCCGGCACGACCTGTTCTCCTCTGAAACAGGAAGAGGAAGAGGAGGAGGAGGAGGAGGAGGAGGAGGAGGATGAGGAGGAGGAGGAGGACTGCAAGGAGGAGGGGGATTACAAGAAAAGCAGAAAGGGATAGGAGGAGGGAAAAACATTGGGTAGGAGATGACCGACCGCGAAGCGAGGTGGCACGACCAAGCGCACACCAGCACGAGCATTCGGCTAGGCTCTGGCGACAGCGACTTCCTTCTGGGGCATCTACCCTCGTCTACTCTGGACAAATAGCTCTGCCTCGTGGGCGTGAGCTGACCTCTCCGCTGGGGGTCTAAAATTGGTAAGCTAGGGGGACAGGCGGTCACGAGTTAAACCCCGCACCGGTTGGCTCCCATAGAACCCGCGCGAGCTACATGAGAAGAAAGTCAATCGATGACTAAAAATAACATAAAGTGTGGCTGGCATGAGTCCATCCCCAACCCCAACTGTGCATGCACTGACCCTTCGACAACCTGGGGAAGTACTGACCTTGTTGAATTAGCTCAAGGCACGGGCTGCATCTCCTGACAGCCAAGGTCGCGTGGGACGCGTTGCCGCGACACCTCGAGCAACTCTTTCCCATCCCCGGACAGGACGCGCGAGGAACATGATTTTAAAAAGCAAGGGCAGCAGAAGGTGGCGGGGGGCAACGGACCTTCTTGACCGCGGCGCTCGACCGTTTCTCCGCTTGGATCGCCTCGAGGTTGGCGCGGCAGGAGGCGGCGTCGGACCAAACGGGCCTTTTCCGCCTCCACCACCATAGACCGAAATGGGGCTAGCACTCGAGCTTCAGGGGATGCTTCCCCCGGCAAGCGCGTTCGCCGCCGCGCTCCCCTGGCGCGAGCCGCTGGAGACACCTGGAGAAGACAAGATCGCCCGCCGTCTGCTGCGAGGGAACTGCAACGCTGCGATGGCATCGGGATCTCCGGACTCCTGGAGCTTCCCTAGACGGCCCCAAAGGTCGGCAGCGCCCTCGCTGTGTCTGTCCAACCTCCACTGGTGCCCGCCGATCACCGCCGCTTCGGTGTCGGCGATGCGGATCATCGCGCCAGCACCAAAATCCACAGCATCCCTTAAACCCAATAACTCGCCAGGGGGCACCGTCTGCCCATGGCTTGGAAAAAGGGCGCCTGGCGGGCGCGTCGATGCCGCGTGGGTCGAAGGAAGAGAAGGCCGCCAAACCTATGCCCACACGACGGGGGGGCCCATCGTTTGAGGCGGGCCCCCCGCTAACCCCATCCCCCACAAAGATCATGAGGGGGCTCGACGGGGGCCAGTGCCAATGGGGCCTCCCCTGCATGGTAACCTCGGCACCGCTGGCGGGGTGCGAGGGCTCGCTGACTGGGGCTGGCACTGAGATCCACGCTGCTGGCAAAATGCCGCGTAACCAAAATATGCGTTTGCTCCATGCTGGCTGAAAGCTTGCAAAGCCAATATGTCGAAACATGCGTAAGCAGGACAGTTGACATTCCTCGTGGGCGAACGGGCCCGGGTAAGTTATGGCGCCCGAACTGTACTCCCGAATTGGACGCGTGATGTATTGCGTTGCGTTTTCGCGCCGGCGCTTCCGTCTGCGAGGGCAACATTGCGCGCGGCCCTGAGGAAGTGCGCATGGCGGCTGAAGGCTGCAACGTTGGCGCTATCATCGCACGCTGGAAGCCGCCCAGACGAAGGCGTGAGCGCGCTCTCGCGCATTGCCCGGGCGGCCAAACGCGGCTTTGACACGGCGCGAACGCCCGCTTTTGGACCGCTCGAGGTGGACGCGGCGGCGAGCGCGCAGCTCGGGCCCGAGCGCGGCGCGCGCGCGGAAGCGCCGCTGACAACTCAAATATTCGGGGCGTGCGAAAGCGGGGGCAGGGTCGCAATGCAGCGGGAGCAGAGGCCGGTTGCAAGAAAGCAGGGGCGCAGGAACGCGGGAGCAGAGACCTGGCGCAGGAAAGCAGCGAGGCGCCCCCTATAACGCCATGGCGGCAAAGCGGGACGAATGGAATAATCTCGGGAGCCTATGTTGTAGTCTCACCTGCAGGCGGCCCTCCTCCGCCGCCCTCCTTCTCGTCTTCCGCTGCTACATTTTAAAGAAATGTATCACAAACCACTCAACAGGGACCCTCCTTCTCCTCTTCCTCCGTCCCCGTTGGTCATCGGGCTCCGTCGCCCCCCCGAGCATGCCTCCGCCCCCCCCCCCCCCTTCCCAACGGCCTTCTTAAGAAAATCCGGAGAGGAACCGGGGGGCCCTGAAAGGACCCCGGAAGGCCCTCCAGAAACTCCTAGAAGGTTTCAAGAGCGACCCCTGCGAGCAACGCTGGCCCGCGCCCCCCTGGGCCCCCGAGACAGCCCCTGAAACAATATCGGAGAACCTCTGGAAAGCCCCAAAAGAAACCCGGGGGGGTTCAAGAGGACACCGACAGGTCTCAATTCCAAGTCGCACCGCGCGACTTGTTGGAGCCCCCTCGGGGCCAGAGACTGCCTGGGAGGAGCCGGAGAGGGACCGCGCGGGACCCCGAAAGGCTCCGAGCGGACCCCAAAAGGGCACAAAGACCGAAAACCACAAACAAACTGCAACGCATTCCTTTTTGCTCCCCCTCAACATGACAACTTTAAATGCTCTTTCTGGGCCCTTTTGGATCCGCCTTGAGGCCCAAAAAAAAACCCGGCACTGGGCCGAAGAAGGTCCCCAAGGGCCACCAGAGGCGCTCCAAACGGGCACCGAGGGGGCCCAATATGGCCCAATGTCAAATCGCACTGCGCGACTTGAAATAGCGGCCCTTCGGGGCCCGCGCAGAAACTCCCAGAGGCCGCCAACAAGCTTGCAAAGCGAAGCATCTGGAACATCCCCCTGGAGCGCTTTCCCGGCGGGTGGCCGGGCTTCTCGAGGCCCCCAACGCAGCCGCGAGAGCTCCAAGATGGGGCCCGCTTCGGCCCGTCTTGGGTCGTTTCGGAATTCGCTTGGGCTGTTTCGGGCCTCCTTGGC